CATTAATTTTCCTTCCAAATTTGTGTGGAAAAAAAAAAGATAGAATTTGGAAGCCAAGACAAAGAGGTTCAAGCATTGGAAGAATTCATGGGGTACCTATAGCATCTGGTGAACCTTATTACCTCAGGATGCTGCTTAATATTGTTAAAGGCCTGACGTGTTATGAAGATATAATGACAGTAGATGGTGTATAACATATGACATTCAAAGATCTTTGCTTTGCAAGGGGTTTACTAGAAGATGACAAAGAATATATTGATTGCATTCTTGAAGCATCTACTTGGGGTACAACAATCTACTACAGACATCTATTTGCTGAACTATTGGATGGTGATATTTTGTCAAAGCCTGAGAATGTGTTGGATCAAACTTGGGAATGCTACATGGAAGATATCCCATTGAAATTGAAACGGTTGTTCAGAAATGAAGGTGTGTCATGAAAATATTTTTCAATTATATTTTACATTTAAATTAGTACACATTTTTTTTTGTTAATATATCATAGATAATAAAATCGTATATACAGATTACATTGTGTCTGAAGGCGAGCTACAATTGCACGCACTGAAGGAGATTGAGTTAATCTTACGAACTCATGGTAGGACCTTGAAGGATTTCCCAAGTATACCATATCCTGGCAACGTATTCATTGAGGATGGGACAAATACCAAGATCCACGATGAGTTAGACTACAACAGGTCCTCATTGAGGGAAGAAGATGATGTCCTCTATGGTAATCTAACTGACGAACAAAGGGCAATTTACAAAGAAATCTTAGATGCAGTTGAAAAAGATAGTGGAGGATTATTCTTTGTGTATGGTTACAGTGGAACTGGAAAGACTTATGTCTGGCGCACACTTTCAACAGCAATTCGAAAAGAAGGAGAAACAGTACTAAATGTAGCTTCCAGTGGAATTGCTTCTTTATTGTTAGTTGGTGGAAAAATGGCTCACTCAAGGTTTCATATACCAATTAACGTACCCGATGAATCGATATGTAGAATAAAACCAGGAAGTGATTTGTCTGCTTTGGTTAAGAGGGCAAAACTTATTATATGGGACGAGACACCAATGGTACATAAACATTGTTTTCAAGCTTTAGATCGTACATTAAAGGACATTCTAAGGCGAACAAATCCAGATGCTGTAGAACATCCTTTTGGAGGTAAAGTTGTTGTTCTTGGGGGGGGGGATTTTCGGCAGATTTTGCCAGTAGTTCCAAAAGGTACTAGAGCAGACATTGTAAGTTCTGCAATAAATTCTTCTTACCTATGGAGGCATTGTAAGGTACTTAGATTGACTGTGAACATGAGATTAAGGGTAGGAAATATAGTGAATAATCCTGATGAAATACGTGAGTTTGCTGGATGGCTGTTAAAAATTGGAGAGGGAAAGATCAACGAGCCAAAGGATGATGAAGCCGACATTGAATTCCCAGATAAGGTTATCATACAGGAACCAGGAGATCCTATCGAGGCAATTGTAAAGGCTATATATCCAGACTTATTAGCTAATCTGGAAAACCAAGATTGGTTTCAGGAAAGAGCCATTTTAGGACCAACGCATGAAGTCATTGACAAAGTAAATGACTACATGACAGGTTTATTACCAGGAGAAGAACGTGAATACCTCAGTTTAGACAGCATGTGTAATTCTGAACATGGAGGTGAATCAGATCAGGGTATTTACACTCTTGAATTTCTCAACAGTGTGAGAGCTTCTGGACTTCCCAACCATAGATTGGTATTGAAACAGAATGTTCCAGTCATATTACTACGTAACCTTGATCCAAGAGTAGGACTATGCAACGGTACTAGACTACAGATTACACGTATGGGCCGTTATGTCATAGAAGGGAAAATCATATCAGGCAGTAATATTGGTCAGGTTGTACCTATTCCTTGGATGAAAATAATTCCAAATGATAGCAACATTCCTTTCAAGATGAAGAGGAGGCAGTTTCCTATAGCTATTTGTTTCGCAATGACCATTAACAAAAGTCAAGTTCAGTCCCTATCTACAGTCGGACTCTACCTACCGTAGCCAGTTTTTAGCCACGGATAGTTATATGTGGCATTGTCAAGGGTGCTATCTAAAAAAGGGTTGAAAGTTCTCATTTGTGACCGTCATGGCACAAGATCCAAGCGAACCATGAATGTCGTTTACAAAGAAGTTCTACGAAATTTCAGCTGAGGTAATTTCTTTATTTTCATTTATGATTTAATCATGGTACATACTATTCTTTTTCATTATCAACTTTTACTATGGTCATAGTTTTTTCAGACATTTCAATTTCACCTTTTATTTTTACATTCCAAAACAAACTATAAACAGAAAGCACAAAAAACAAATCAAACAAAATTGCTTATTCCATCAGATCATGCTCATACTATTAATTGCATCTAGCATATTATCTAAGATTGAATGAATATGAAATTACCTTTTCTGATTAACAGTATCCACCGGACCTTTATCATCCTGATTGTATACCCTGATAATATATCAACAAGAATAAATAATCAGAAATAATTTTTCATACATAATATAATACTTAAAGACCACAATCAAATCTTCAATTACCTCAGCAGAATGAAGTTTGGATGACGAAAATGTTGTTGGATATACAGACAGCTTTAATAACCACGAATATTAACTAGGTCGTTTATTGAACATAATCTGTTTGAAAAATATAATTTCAATATCAGTATAAAAAAATTAATCATTAAATTGATATTTGGAATAACACATTAGGCCGAACTAATGAAAACCAAAGGAAATATCAATAGGCATATTACCTCATCAACAAACGATTGAATCTTAATACACCCATTTCCAGCTCAGACACTTCAATGGAACACTCCTTCATTTTACAAACCCATTTATAACCAATGATAATAGCTACACAGTAAACCTAGAATAGCAACCCATACTGGAGAACGAACTTATATCTGAACACCCTCTTCACCTTCAATCGATTAATATGAATCCGTGAAATTCAATGGTTCAGACCCCATTTAAACCGAATGAATAAGAATATAGTGCTCGATGAATCTTAGATTGATTACAAAACGTCAACCAAATGAGATTCTCATGGATACTTAGAAAAATTTGACACCGAATATGAGATCGAAAGACCAAAAGGTCGGTAGACTTTCTAAAAAAAAAAAAAACTGCACTTTGGTGAAGATTCCAGATCTGTTCGACATGAACAAAGACCAAACTGAAGAAAATGATTCCCGTAAAAAAATGGCGAGCTACAAGTTTAATCAATCTACTTGTGACTCTCTTTTTCAACTGCATCTAAGATATGAATATAGTGCTCGAAAATTTTGGATTGATTACAAAATGAAAACCAAATGAGATTCAAAATCGAAACTTGGAAAAATTTGACACCGAATCTGAGATGCAAAGACCAAAAGGCCAGTAGACTTTCTAAAAAAAAAACTTTTGGGGTGAAGATTTCAAATCTGTTCGATATGAACAAAGACCAAAATGAAGAAAATGATTCTCGTTTTTTTATTTACTTTTTTTTAAAAAAATATTTACCCTTCTAACCCTCCCAATTTATTGTTTTTATTTTTGCCTCAACATAAAGAAATTATTTACCCTTGCTACCTTCAGAGTTTGATAAATTTATTTTTGACCCACATAAATGAAATATTATTATTAATAATAATAAAATTTATCACAAATATTAATTCCAAGATATTGCCCGGGCATCGGTCTAGGCCAAACATCTAGTAATTAATGAAGGTTCTAAACATCAGCCATAAATCACCTTAAACGGAATCAGCAAAAATTACATACAAACTAAAATGAAATCTAATACTAAAAGTTTCAGACCAAAATCATTATGGTACCCTGCTGGAAGCTTCAAAATTTGGGCTGCAAAATTCACTTTGGAACCATGACCCAGGATGATTTGTATTGGTTCATTTTAAATTCGGACCAGTCAAGTTCATTTAAGACCCAAGTATTTGGACTAAGAACTGCGAAGGGGCAGCGCGAACGCAGGCCCCCGCTGCCACAAATTATTACGTAGGCTACGCTCATGTAAACAGACCTTAGGCGGGCACCCCTCCCCAACTTTCAGCAACCCGTCGATGTGGGACAAATCTTCAAAGAAAGGCAAAACACAAGGATATCCGGGATTATTTCATTGCGGCGGCGACTTGCATTGTCTTTGACAGGAACCAAATTGTTGTCTGAAATCTTGATAATAATTACAAACCAACATCTAATACGGAAGACCTAAACGACAACAGACACAATTGATTGATTGATGGTACAATAAATTTTTCAGCTGAGTTGAGGAATTTAGTTGCTTATTATCTAAACTTGTTCTGAACCATCCAAATCTGAGCGATCACTTGTATTGCATTGTTATTGTCAAGTTCTTCCCTGTTCAGTAAAATAAACCTTAAAAAAAAAAAAGAGCAATCACATTCTTTTTTGGTTTTGGTTTTCACAATTTCTTAGGACTTAACAAATCTGGAATTTTGGAGTTCATCCACTTCAATTGGATCCGGATTTCCGATCATAAGAAACAAGAACAATAGAAAAAATAATTTTACCGCTAAATGGCAATAGGCAGGCCTGCTTCCTTGTTATCAACGCAAAATATTACTCCTTCTGTCCCAAAATTATTGTATAGTTTGATATTTCACTTTTAGTATAAATTGAACTAGAAATGAAAATCTAAACTAGACAATAATTATGGGACGGGAGGAGTAATACTATCGACTCAATTGATCTCGTAAAATTTAACTGCGACTTTCATCCTCATAGTTGAATAATAATAAGGATTATTGCCTGAATAATCGAGTGCAAGACAATGTAACCACGTCCAATATTAGGCCCTCTTGAAAAGTCTTGTTGAAAGCAATTGGCAACCATAATGTTGTACATCCAGGCCAAAGAAACAATTGCCTAAATATTGGAATTCTTCAAAGCAGCAGAAAACTGAAAATAAATATCGCAATCAAACAAGCTTTATATTTCCTCACACATTAGCTATAATTTGCTGGGCACCAATTAAGTGGATCTGGCTTCCTTCACTAATCGATTTGGCTTCTGGGATGTTGCCATGTGCAAGCTAACCATAACGACGATGAAGTATTGTCGTTGCTTACAAGGCAGTTTAACATAATTTCAACGTCGAGAATTTTGTATGAATCCCAACTTTTTGTTGAAGAACTTGTGCGGAAGGAGAATCAAGGGGAAATTCTCAACCCTCAACATTCTTCAGTCTGAATACCGAGGGGGGGTTGTTCTTTTCCACTCATGAAAACTTCTATGCTAATGGTTTCTTCTCTTATAACCACAATAAATTTTTATCAGCTTGATGAAGGAAATATTACATCGATTACTTTGAAGACGCAAACTTCAAGAGCTAATTCAGTGTTTGAATCCCATGGGTTGGGGTTCCAACACATGCCACTATATACAATTGGACAATGCAAGAAGGCAAAAAAACACCTACTTTGCTAGGGTGGCACCAGTACTGTGCTCCATTTGTGGAATTAGCATGATCTTATTATGTACACTTTTTTTGCTGGGGCAAAATTAAGTATAACTGATGCATTCGTCCTGTAACTCTCTCTACCAGTAACTTGATTGATCTGATCGCCGTCCATGGAAGTCCCTCTTAGTGTCTTCGCCTTTTTGCAAAAGAACACCACCATGGGACTAACATCTGTACCGAGAAAACTTGTTGGCAACCCTCAAGAATTATCATACAGCTAGTCACAGAACATCGAGATTATTATAATTGTTACGGTGCATCCGGTTTTGGACTGCTTTCACTGCTGTAACTCTTGCTGCATTTGCAGACCTATTAGCTGCTGCTACAGCTCTTTTTACTCTTTCCTCAGGATTTGGCAACTGAGCTGCCTTTTGTGCAGCTGTCCGTGCTTCCTGCAAGCATTCAACGGTATTTACTTTCGGGAAATATCATAAAGAACAGCTGAAAGGCTAAAAAGTTAATTTTCACAAGTTGGAAACAATCAGCAGGAGAAACTATACAGGTTAAAACCAGCTCAAGCTAATAGAGGACATAAATCCCTTTCCGTATTAACAGAAAATTATGTGCAGAGAATATTGGAGCTTTATGTGTGCGGCATTAGAGAATAGAACAAGTTGTTAAAGCTCAACAGATTGTACTAAAGTACAACTTGCGTAGATTATTTTCATGGAGACAAATGATACATGCCTATAACAGTTGCATTCATTTTAGTTACCTGAACTGCGTGAAGAACCTTTGCTTGGTCATATGCAGTCGAAGACGCAGGAAGGGTGCCCCGGGGGCTAGAAGCACTAAGAACTCCATTTTGCCAGTATCCAGACTGAGTTTCTCCATTTCTGAAAGTATATGTTCCAAAACCTTGCCTTCTCCCCTCATGCCAAGCTCCCTCATAACGGTGGCCATTTGCAAAATGATAAACCCCATAACCATGCATCTTGTCAGCAAAATATTCACCAGCATAAGTATCCCCATTTCTGCCAAATAATAAAAAGAGCAGAAAGTTCAGGTTAGAGAAGTTTCAAAAAATACATCTGTTAAGAGGTTGCTTGCAAGATATTCTTCATATAAATGGCAGTAGAAAGATAGATAATAATGTCCTTGAACTAAATATGCCAATATTCTTTAGTTTCAGTAATAGAAGTGTAAATGAAATATAAATAAATGGTTCTGTTCAAGGTTGAAAGAGTTTACAGGTGGGAGTCTGATTTCCAAATCGAAAACTGTCAATATAACTATATCACATAATCCATAGTGTCTATATCTACTAAAGCTAATATAGAAAACGGATCAAATTCAGTCAAGGTACTGAGCAGCCATTCAACTTATTTGTCATAAACCTCCAAAGTGAAACACTTTACAACATGAAAACTTCAGAACAAGAAGCAACAAAGTTCTGAATCAAAAGAAACATCACCACCAAAATCAATCATAACCAGCACCATTCATTTGAATCCACAATATTTGACTTATGAGAAACATATCAAACCCCTGCACAGCAGTTCAACATTCCAATCTCTTGACTGATTCACATTTCATACCTATTTATAGACTTTTCCTGTTCAATAATAACAGTTGCACAAAATGGAGGGGGTGTGCAGTTCCAAGTGGCATATGTAAATACAAAAAATATCTTAGCAACTAATGGCAACATTGGTAGATAGTAAACTAGGTGTAAACTGAACGGCTAACTCCATGAGCAAGGCAAACAAGCCAACGGAACATACAACTCCGAGAACTAAGCACTGAGCCTCAACAGAGTTACAAAACAACCATACAGAGAAATGCCAAAATATAATCAAACACGAATGTGCTTACATCAACTTAGAATAGCCAAGAAATCGAAGTAATGAAGACATCAATCAGAATACAGAAAAGGGCATGACTCATCAAAGCAAAACAAGTAATACTAGGAACTTAAAGACAATGGGCAAATGATAAAAGCACTAAATATGGCAGGCTATGTATAGCAAGTTCAAATGCACAAAGTAGAACTTAAGAAACAGAGGAAAATTCTACCTGAAGCGGTAGCAGCCAAGGCCATGTTTTACACCCCACTTAAATTCTCCGGTATAGCTACTTCCATCCTCACAAGAATGAAATCCACAACCATGACACTGTCCATTACACCACTCCCCCGAGTACACATCACCTGTAAAAGACCTGTAGAATCCAACTCCATTCCTCAGTCCTTGCCGGTATTGACCACGGTATCGACTTCCTTTTGCCCATGTCTCAACGCCATAGCCGTCATACTTATTATCAACCCAATCACCTTCATACCTCCCACTAATATGGTAGTAATAAACTCCACTTCCAGAGCACTTCCCCTTATGAAATTCACCCTCATAAACATCACCATTACTATAAACCTCCACCCAACACCCTGAATTAGCAACCTTTTCAGTTTTAGGCTTGTGCCCAATCGACCAGACAACTCGAGGTTCGTGATGCTTAGTCGGAGGGATTACTGACGAAAGACTAATATGCAAAGTTTTCTCAATAAACAATCGAACTGAGGGAAATCTAGGGAGGCCTAAATGGAGCGAAATCACTAGAAGAGCGGAGAAAATAAGAAAATATAGCAAGTGAAGCAAGAAAGACCAGCGACGATTTGAGGTGAGAAAATATACAGTAGGCAAGGAAATCAAAGTAAAAACCTTCAAATGGACCCTGAACCACGAGGCATGGCACCAATGGTGAATCAATCTGAGAGTAATTCTTTTTGTAGCTAAAAGCATAGGAATTGAAGACGAACAAGGACAAGATTTATGGGAAGAACCCGAATTCAACACCGAACCATTCTTGTGAGCATGATACGGATGCGGGAATTTGGCGCCAGTTTGAACAGTATTATCACCTTGATCCGTTTTGAGGTGATGAAAAGAAGAAAGGGTCGGAGAACGAGCAAAGCTGGAACTTTGAGACATCATCGGTCTTTTATGGGGTGTAGAAATTGGGGTGTTGTTGTTCTCCGAGTAATTCTGCCAGATGGGTTCATTCTGATTCGAAGAATTCGAAGAGAAAGGAGGAATCTTGATGTGAAGATGAGGTTGAGGCGGTGAATTTTGTGAAGAAGAAGATGGTGTTGACTGTTTCTGGGATTGTTGAAAATGGTGGGTAAAACGGGTTGGGATGTTTATATTCAAATCGGACGAGACGCCGCCATTAATGTCCTTTCCGATCTGATGCAGAAGCTCGAATCTTTTCTGATGCATTAACAAATACAGAGAGGAAAATGTGTCACACACTCCTTGGTTTCACCTTATAATTAGCATATATAGACTGACCTTCTTCTTTCTTCTTCTTCTTCTTCCTCAAAAAATTCCTCTGTTTTGGGATTGATGTGATGTTCTGAATTTTTTTTTCCTTTTTCTTCTGGTCTTTTACAAGTTCTCTATCAACTTGTAGGTAATAGGTATAGTTTTTAGTGTGTGACTGTGTGCGTTTTTTGATGCTGTGGTCTGGTTCAGGAGGGAAGGAAAGGAAAGAGATGATGGGATTTTTGCAGGGACAAAACCAAGTGGCCCTAAACCAGTGGGGCTTAAAAGGGAGCTGAATTCCAGATTTGGATAATGAATTATAATTGCATGTGAAATGACCTTTTAGGCCTTGACATTGCTCCTTATTTACCAAAAAAATATAGATCCAAAAAACCCTCTCCATCCCGATCAAGATTCTAATTTTCGGACGAAAAGTAAATTATAGATTCTATAATTTCATGAGTAAAACAGAAAATAAGGAAATAAAAATGTGTTGCATTTTCAACCACAGAAGGAGGATTACATGATCTTGTCTAAAATGGTATAAACATATTGAGGAATGCAATCTATACTGTAGTTTCTTTAATTTTGCTTACTATTTTGATTGATTAGAGGAGTAGGTGGCACAAAAAGATTTTTTATTAAAAAAGAAAATATTGTTAGAAGAAGGTAAGATTCCTTTTCTTTTTCGATAATAACATTTGGCTTAGTTAGTGGTATTTGCTACATAAATGATAGGAAAAGTGATGTCTATTTTGATAAATGTACAGTGACAATTGATGAATTAAGAATGTCTTGAAGATTTTTCAAGTTCATTTAATCGAACTAATTATATTTATTTAGTGCAATTAGTTAGCAACATGCACCAATCACATTATTTTGAAAAAAAAAAAATCATCCATCAAATTAGATACGAACACCCATGAAACAGAATATCATATCGGATAATATAAGCAAACAGTATAATCATTTTAGAACAGGAAGATGAATGGTATGTTGTTGAACCTTTTTGTGTGGATGCTCATGTAAATCTGATTGAGAAGAGGGGTAAAATGGGTAAAGAAATGTTAACGAACTGAGACGCTTCGCGGGTTCTGAGCATCACTTGCGCCATACGACAAAAAACAAAGAGACCAGTTCAAAAACGGATGCTCTCTCTAGATCAACGCCCCACCAATCCAAAAGTGTCTTCCCTTTGTTTCCCATACTACCCTTTGCCCCTTCGCCTCTCAGAAGGATCCGTCGTTTTAGCATTTAAAATTACTTTCTTGGAAGATTTTTCTTGGGAAAGGTTCTTTGTTTTAGAGTTTTTTTTTTTTTTAAAAAAAAAGAGTTAATACCAGTATCTTCTGACGATAAATCTTTTTGTACTTGAAGAAAAAAAAAATGACTTGATTATTAATTTGAGGGAAAATTTTTCTTTCAATTTCTTTTTTTTTTTTTTTTTTTGGTCAAGGAATTGGTTCTACCAGAAATTTTGAACTTGTAATGTCGTGGTTACAGTTCCTAATCTTAGCGACGTAGGGAAACATTTAGGCAATTTTTAATTGTAATGATATTACGAAGTTGATAGAGAAGTTTGGATGTTTTCTTATACTAAGTTTTTAGGTTAAAGCTAACCATAAAATATTAGATTAGAGATATTTGTGAATATCTCGATCGGCCATTTATTTTCTCAAAGCCGGTTACACACGTTAGCATAACAATTATTTTTAAGACTATTAAGTGATTATTGAGAAAGCTTTTGTAATTTTTCTGGAGACTAATGTCAAAGACGTTCATGATAGACTTTGTTTTTCAAACGAGAAATTTGATTGTCTTAACGAGAATTTTTTTTATTTTTTATTTTTTGCCCTGATTTTTATTTGATAACAATAATTTCATCATACTTTTGTCAATACAACTTAATCTTTCATCCCGGTTATAAATACACCTTCTAGTAATTATAATATAATATATAAGCGGAATAATTATTTTATAAACTTATAAATTATAACGATGGACTTTAGTTTCAAGTTCCAAAATGAAATCAACATCTTTTGAAGACATACTTTACAAGTTGTTCAAATTATGTGTACAAATAGTTTAGTGACAAATTTGGCTGGATTCCGTTGTTGAGTGATTGTTTTTGGAAAAGTTTTTTCTTGCAGTGATTATAATTGACAGTATCTAATTGTTTAGTGATGACTCGTACTTGATATTTTCAAAATGTAGTTCAAAATATTTTTTTCAAAACCAACATCCAAACAACTTTTTGCTCAAAATACCATCCAAACAACATTTTCATTTCCTATTTAGTTTTCAACTTGAAACACTTTCCACTTTTAAGTGGCAAACTGAAATGTAAGTTGAGGTCCAAATAAGCACTAAGTTTCCTACTTAGGTTCACGTTGTGCCTTCGGACCTAAAATTCTTACTACTAAACTTTAATGAAATGACAAAGATAATTAAGAATGGGGAGAAATCAGAATCGGTATATGTGTAGTGTTGCAGCTGCAAGAAATATTACTTGGACAGAATATGAACGTTTATTACCGTTATTTGCCGAATTCTTAATGCAAGAAAAAAAAAAAAAGAAAATTTACCGTTAATCACAGCTAAGATGATTGATAGTATGAATTAGTATACACTATACTTTGTAACGAAAGTTTGAATTGGAGCATTCGAGAACAACACAAAAAAATATGAAGTCTTATACGTTTGACCTTTGGAAGTTTACTTTCAATCTCCGAAAATTGAGGAGCATAAGGCTATAAACAATGTCAAGATTGTTATTAAAAAAAAAGAGTAGTTAGATTAATGAAATCTATATATAAAATTACATTAAAAAAAATTTCATTTCGTTCTCTAGAACTTTTGCACACAAATAAAAAGTACTCTACATTTCAATCAATGTGTATAAAGTAGGAGTAATTTTTATGGGCCAAGTGAAAATTAGTAATTAAGCTCCGAGGTAGAAACAGATATCGGAGTAAATATTTTTGTTCTCTTATATATCAACCGTAAAAACTTTGCAAAATCTGAGTTGATTAAAAATTTTGAAGCTAAAATATGTTGGTATTAAGTTTAAAATTCAAAACAAGGCCTTTTTATTTAAAAAATATTTCTACATTACAAGCAACAATCGTAAAAGATGATTATTATACCTTGGGCCGTTCATGAGCTTCTAAGGAGAGAATGGACTGTGAAGATCGTACATGTATATCGAAAAACTAATTTCGCAGCGGACTATCTATCCGATTTAGCGGCCTCTGTATCACTAGGTTATCATTGTCTTCATCAACCTCCTGATGGTGTCAAATTTTGGCTCCATCATGATGTAATTGGGGTGTCATACCTTCACGATGTCACTATATAAATAAGGCACTACCGCTTCCTTTTCACCAAAAAAAAAAAAAAAAAAAGAAGATGACTATTATATATGTGACGGAAGAAATATAACAACCGGTATCACAGAAGATAACTAGTTTAGATATCATCTCTAACATTTTAAATCAACTGATAGTCACATGATGATGTTAGCCATATGAGAGAGTTTAATTACAATGATTTTGTTCCAAAATTGGATTTGAAAATCACGTGCCGCCCAACGTGTCCACATCAAAGATCCAATTTCTTGAAGAATTATTAATGAAAAAAAAAGAGTCATAGGGCCACAAAAGATGAGTATTATTATTACTAAAAAAGATAAGAAGATGAGACGAGATGATGTGGGTTGGGTTCATTCATGTAATAATCTTAAGTGATTATCTCTGACTATTATTGTGTTTCTCTTTCAGTTTAAGCATGTCTGCATCATCATTATTTGTACAGTGTTGATTATCATATATATTTTCCCACTTTGACAAATTTAAATCACAGAGGTTGATGTCTTTAAGGTTTGACATATGACTACTAATCATAATACAAGTTTTTTTTTCTTTTTTTCTCAGACCCTATTTCTTTATCCTGCCATTAGTAGTTTAGCCACTGAGAGGCTTTAGCACTATTAAATTCATGAATCCATATGCTAATCCGTCATTATTCGAATCTATTTCCTAATCTATTTTCTAATCCGTTTTCATATGATAAAACAAACGCTTCCTTACTGACATCTCACAATGTATGATAGTACAAGTTTTTTTTTTTTTTTTTTGAGAAAAAATAAGTCACAACTCTATAATTAACTACCTTTCTTTTGGACTAAAGCCCACTCATATTCTCAAAATTTTGAGACTTCGTCTTCGTCACTGGATACTTCCGAGTTCCGATTCTCAACATAATTAAGTATAATAATGTCAAAAAAATATAAATTGATAATTAACTAAAGAAAATGAAATAAGTTACATATGCCTACTTGATGTAATGTACCACCAAATAGAAGAGCAACCTCATATAAAAATTAATTAATAGACAAACAAACATGAACAAAAACATTAGCAGAAAGTGAACAACCAATATTAATAAAAATATTATCGGTAATTGGGAAGCAAAAGAAAGATGTGCAAATGTATTCGTATCAGTTGTCCTAAATTAAACCACAAAACTCGCAAGGTATTAATTAAAAAAATAAGTCTCCTTGCCCTACAATAATTGTCTTATTCAGTATCATAAATATATGACAATTATTTTGAGACAGAAAAACATGAGATCCCACCATTGCAATGAACGTAGTAATAGTGTAATGCTAAACTAATATCCTAAAACTCCAAGGTATCACCCTAACAACCACATACCAGATTCTCTATATATTTTTTTACGTATAATATTATATCTGTCAATGACTTGATGCTACTTTTGTATTTGGCTTTTGGTTTTTAGTCGCACAATTATTTTTATTGGTGGCAGACATGCACATTTAAATTTATTAAAAAAACAACAATGCATTAGAAAGAACGAAAAAAAAAAAAAATTAAAACAATAATATAGTAGTTATACTTTTAGTATGAACCCTGAAGATGAAGTTGATACACGTATTGGAATATGGTTTCTCTCTGATTTGCTCTTATCTGGTTCGCCATTTCATTTTCACAGCCTACCTTTTGTGTAACTAAGACCATACTCTTATCCTTATCATCGCTGCAACTCACTTTCTCTCATTCAAATTCATGAACAATGTAACAAACGGTTCTAGCCGTTCAAATTTCATACAACTTTTGCAAGCTATGATTATGAAATCAATCATATCCATTTGATGATTAAGAAAGTAAGGGATACAATTGGTAGGAATCGTAAATCTAACCTTCTTTTTCTTTTTTTGCACGTTCAATTATTACAAATGATCAAATCTCGAATTAATTGTCTCACCCAAGGCTCCAGAACATACAAGGCCTTTGATTCGTGGGACATTTTGAGCTAATCTTCACCTCGGCCTTATATTCGAATTTCGACATGGACGGTTAATGAGTTTCCACTAAATTGTAACTTTCAAAAAAACAACTTGTAACAAATATGTGATAATTAAAACGCCGAATACATGGGAGAGTGACAAGACTGAAGCGAAACTTTAGTACAAACAATGAAGATAACAAAATCACTAAGCAAAGAGGGTTTACAGCTGAGCTCAAAATCTAAATACTACTGAGAGGCTATTTAGTGGCTTGAGATGTTAAGTGAATAGCACTTCTTCACATATCCTTTACGGCTACTCTATGACAAACAGAATAATTGCTTTTGCGACCTCGAAACTCCAGCTCTCACAAATTCAGAGCATCCCAGAACTCCACCCACATATGGCAGCCTGCAACTTAAAATTCACTGCCGATAACAGCAAAAAGCCTGAAGCTTGTAGCTAGGCTTTCATGGCTTATGGACTTTAAAACCAAAGACTCTAGGAACATAGCCCTGGGCCGGCTTTTGGGGCTTCAGGTTTCCGTAAGTCATCAAGAACAAATGTGGAAACGTTGTCCCAAAATATGCTCCATCGATATCTTGTCGAAGTCAAAGAGAAAGCAATAAAATAGGGCTGACCCAAGCAAAATAACCATATCATGATATGCAGCATAAAGACATGGATTGCATTGCTTTTGTGTCCATAATTCACAAATCTAAGTGATTGAGAAGGTATACCACATAAAAAAGGACAGCCAAAAAGAAAATAGAAGACGATTAGGTTTTCCCAAATCTTACTCTTTCTAGCTGTTCACAAGGTTAGCCGTTAGCCCAACAATACTATGTAGTGTGAAATGAATCATGATTTAACTTGTATGTCAAACCAATTAGCCAAGGTCAACTACTCAGAAGGACGAGATTTATTCATCCACCATCCACCATCTTTTTAAAACTAAATGCAGCAATAAATGCAGGACGAGATTTATTCATCCACCATCTTTTTAAAACTAAATGCAGTAATAAAAATATAGCATATTAAGAAAATAAAAGACGTTAAAATATTTGGACAAAGAGGATACTCTCCTGAAACCTTGATCTAGGTGTGTAGATATCTTCACACCTGGGGCAATAAATTTTCACTGTGCTTTGACGAGGAACATCCGAAGGACCCACTGGAAGGCAAGGTTGCCCGCAACAGTACACTCTTGGACACCTTCCAAATTCCGCGTTCTTGTACTTTTCCAGCTGAAAATGGCCAGATGCTGCTCCATTATTATAGCTGAGGGACAACAAATTGTAAAATCATGGAACGAATTCTCACCATAGCTGCCAACCCTTTGGTCGTCAATATGTAGCGGACATGTATAAGGCCGTATAGCATCTCCGCAGCTGATTCAACTAACTCATTCTGTTCGTCTGTAAACATATCTCCTACAGATTAGATTGACTCCAAGATATTATTGGAGTATCAAAATACTACACAATGATAGGAAAGACCATCAAACAATAATCAAAGTATCGACAATCAACCAGCGCAAAGTAATCCTACGTGCTACCAGAAAATCAAGTAAATTTTGCTCCATTAAAAATATCTAAACAACAGAAAAAGCAACTCATCCCACTACAAGAACGAATGAGCAAGAAGACACAGCCCAATAGGGCAGAAGTCTGGTATTTGAATACTTGATATCAGCAAAACCAACCGATTGTTGAACCAATTCTTTTTGAATTATGCGAGCCTCAGCACTTCCTATATTTCAATGCTCATGACAATTGCAGCAAGAAATCATCGTGACTGATTCCATATTTCAATAATAACCAGCATTTTCAAGATCAATAAGCCATATACTGATTCCAAAGTACTACCAGATATGCATCAAACGCCATTCAAAGCAATTATCCACCAACTAGGCAACTACAACAAGAAAAGGGCAAAAAGAGACCAAAAAGTGCCAGCAGAGTGTGGTTTCAATGATTATATTAAATTACCAAGTATACCTATCATCAACATCAAGAACTTGTCTATTAGTGGACCATTGAACTTGTCAAAGCGAACTGAAAGCTAAAACGGCATTAGAGATAAGGTTCTGAGCAAGATTCGAATTACTAGCATATCCATGGCCTTCTATTTTTTTTTAAATAGTTGTTCGAAATTAAATCCCATAACTTTGCTGCTATACCTTGTCAAGGATGGTGGCAATAACAAGCAGCTTTCAATTATTATCTCATTTGCACTATCCTTTTCCTCATTCTTTCAGACAATAAGTTGATTACCTTCTATACAAAGAACAAATAAAAAAATTTCATCAATATCCTAGAAGACTAAGATACTTAATCCCATCCAACCTTTAACTTGCAGCAAACTGATAAGGCTCTGTCTAAGTCGAACTTGATTCAGCGGGGAAGTACTAGATTAAACTATGCATATCGGATAAATGAAACAAAAATCTTAAAAATTTATTATGTGGTTCAGAGACTAATCAAATTATCAATTAAATGCGTTTAAATTTAAAAGGAAACAGCTTAATAAATGAATAGGTCAAAACGCATAATCGTATCTAAACTTGAAATTAACTTAATTAATTCAGAACTTGTTCCTTCTTTCCCTTCGAACTTAACTATCCGCTAATGGTGAATCCGGTTCCCTATGCATTATTAATTTCAATTCCTACACACTGAGTGTAACCGGAGTCTATTTGATAAATGAAATTAAAAATCTGAAGAAAAAAAAGTGATCTGGAGACCAAGCATATCATCAATTAAATCATTAGAAAACTTTAGATGTTTAATAGATCAAGTTGGCCGAAAAAGCAAGAACATTTATTGGCCTGAAAGTAAGCGATAAGCTCACGGCTCATAAATTTTATACCACTTTTTCCTTACCTCTCTGCCTCTCTCATTATTGACACGATTTCAGTCATGATCCCCATAAGTTTTTAATTCTTATGCAGTCAAATTTTTCAGGGACAAATCATTTATTGCTTTATGTACAAATATAAAAGTGATGATTTCCTACTTTTATTCATATTTTAGCATCCTCATTCAAGTCAACAAACTTTTTCCACAGGAAAATGATAGCTCCAATACATTTTATTCAAATAGTCCTAGAAACAGGAGTGTCGTCCATAATCACTATCATTGATATCAAATAACATTATACATTAACCAAATTGTATGTCATATACATTTAGAAGAAAATAATAAAACCTGTATCTACTGACTTAACATTTTCTATTAATCTAACAAATCCTGTATATTAATTGAGTATGACCCAGACTCCTAAATTAAACCTTTAGGTCACTCACTAGATCTAGACTTCGAACACAGTACTTCAAATTTTAATTTTATCAAACAGAAGCTGTCTTTCTCCCCAACACTATAATAGTCGATGAACAGCACTTTGCCCAGCACTTACAATTGTTGTAAGGTATCCAGGTATACCAATCAATAAAGATTAAAGAAGCAAAGTTAAACATTGTTTTTGAAGAAAAACAAGCTTACCATGAGATGACTCAACATCTAGAATCAAATCAAGCGCATAGTCATAATAAGGAACTTGGCTGCTTAAACCACAAAGGTTAAAATCATCTTGAATATAATCATCGTCAACTTCACAGAAAAACTCATTGCCGCGAAGGTTGCAAAACCACGAAATCCATGAAGTGTCCTCCCCATCAGAGCCACTCACATCTGACTCACTGTCTGTTTCTGATTCCTCCGCTGCAAAGAAATCCATAACAACTCTCATCTTTAACATAAAAATTTAAAGAACGTAAGAACCCAAAACAATGAGAAATCACTAACACACATCAGCAAGACAATCTTAAACTTAACAACAGAACAACGAAATAGACTTCCTTTTCACTGACCAAAACATAGGTGCTCAAAACTAATCTAAGCAACATGATATCACCAGCAAAAGAAAGCAACAGAAAATTATAGAAACCAAGACTCTGAACCTCTTAAGTCGTAAATCAAACATGCACGAGGGGTTCTAAACAAGAACCAAACGTTCAAATAGGGAGAGGAAAGATTCGGATATGCCCAATAAAATGAATGACATTGAAAAGCCAAAAGAAAACTTCAATACCAGTTAATTAATTTCGTCAAAGTTCCAACTTGAACCAATTACATAGGATTTTCAAACTTCAATAACAGTAAATTGGCAGCAAAGGTACATTATCAAGCATCTAATTCCAACAAACATACATTTGCTTCAATATTGTCCATGTATATTAAAAACACCCTGAATCCAAAAACTCTAAGATATCAACAAATCTCACATTCAGGGCATGCAATCTCAACACAAACAACAAGTTCAATAAAAGATAAGACACTTTACAAAATGCATTCACATTATAAGCAGTAAGAGAGCAGAGGAAAACCATCAGAGGCTTTAGCGTCCTTGAAATGTTGATTGTCATTGGACTTAAACATCAAGGAGCGGTGATTATCTTTCCCGTTGAGAGCCCTGGCGATGGTGGCAGTGGTGGTGGTAGTCGCCGAAGTGGACGGGGAGGATCGTTCGAGATGCTTATCTAGGGCTTCATCAATCCGTTTCCGATCAGCCGCCGACACGAAACCAACCGCTTTCGATCCTCCGCCTTCAACCCTCCGATACATCTCGTCCTCTCCCTTCTGCCTTTTCCGCTCTCGTACTATATTGTCAAACAAAAATAGTAAACCATTAAAAATCGTCAGAAAAGAAAAAAAATCGAGGAAGAGAGAGAAAATTAGGGTTTTTCGTAAAAGGGGGAAGTGAGGGAAAAAACAAAAAAAGAAGACAGAGAGAGAAAGGAAGCTCGGCTAACCCATTCCCCTTTAATTTTTTCTCTCTCTAGGATTTGTTGTTTATTGGGGTTGGAATTTCAGATTTATGTAATACAAATACCACTATGTAAAAGTGAGAGTGAGACTGATGTGCATACTTTTGTACATTACAGAGCTTGTATTGTTTGCATGTTTGTTTGTCTGCTTTTAGTGTGTGAGTGTGTGAGAGAGAAAGTGGAAGAGGAAGAGAAGAGGAGGAGAGGGTAGAGAGAGAGACACCGTTGAGATTGGAGTGGCCGTCCTGTATCCCGGCGGGAACTTTGTACTCTTTAGCGTTGTTTCTTTTTAGATTTTTTTTTTCCCCAAACATCATATTTTCCGTTTTCTATTTATTTTGGTTGCGGTATTCCGAATTTTCTTTTCTTGCGTTTTAGACCAGTATTTAATGATAATTAAGTTTCTGACTCGGAATATTTCTTACTCATTAAGATCCTTACAATGTTGATACAAAAATCTCATCAGAATCGATTTCGAAAACTAAAGTAGCACTATTTATGGAGACAAGATTGCATAATTCCTGGATGAATATTTTAGTATTGATTTTCTAAAGTTCGAAATGGAGATCAAACAAAATTATGAATTACAATCCAGTGCATAGAAACACAGAAGCCAAATCCTCATCAAAATATGCACCCTATCAATCATCATCAAAGTACTTCTCCTCAGCATCACCATTTAATTCTCTCATCCAGTGATCATCTAAGCTCTCATTCTCGTCAATCTTCGAGTAATCCATGTACTGATGATCTTCCCCTGATAAAAACTTCTGTTGCATAATGAAGGTAAAATGATCCATGCGATCTTGCATCTCTTCTAAAGATAAACTTTCCTGCTCCGGGGGTTGCCCGATTGTGGCTTGTTGACTATTACGGACAGATGATGCAGCACCTTGGTCTTCCTTCATTCCCTAAATAACATGACGATAAAAAGTTTAGAACAATAAGATATGAAATTTGGAATACAGAGTGAGATCACACTAGTAAAAAGAGCAATCTGCTGAACAATCAGGTAATAACAGGAATCCAACTTAACAGCAACCAAATGAGCTTTTAAACTACACCCACCAACCAATAGAGGAAAACTAGAATAAAAACTATCAGTTTATAGTTTGTAATGGCCCCAAAAGGACTTCAGTCCAAGGATTGTTTAAAGGATATTCGAATCTACTTGGTTCTGACAGGTGATGAAACCTCACATACAAAAGCTGTGCGCAAGCATATTGCATAAACTATATCCTCCCTTGCTCTGATACTCCCCAAAAAGTAATACTAAAACACATAAAAGAGCGAGCTGCATGTGCCTTGGTTAAGTTAACTTCAATACTATGGGTTCAAGTATCAAAATCCCCCTCAGCACCACTCGTGAGGATACTTAAGTATTAGTTTAAAGCGGCAACATAGTATTGCGAATATCATCCAAACCAATGTCAAAAAGGTCCAAAATATTTTAGCTTAATGGACTGAAAATGAGGTACACACAGCAGGTATTCTCCAACTTCTGAAGAAAACTCTGATAAAGAGACTGAATGAGAAAAAGATATCTTCAGTTACACTTTAAAACAACAACCAGGATAAGTAGAATAGTTATAATGACGACAAAACTATCAACAAACCACCAAAGACTCCAAACATCCTTCTCATTCATGCACGAGCTCCCATCACATTTACTTTGAACCCTAGCTCCTATTCTACAAACCCAGACATGTTACACAGTTCTTGTAGTGTCCAAATCCTGTTCGGATCTAAAATAGTTATCCAAAGGTTGTGACAATTACACATTATCAAGCCAAACATTACTCCCTGTATCAGAATCTAGTTGAAAAAATTGGGATCTACTATAAGTTTGCAAACAGACAAAGAGAGTGAAGCAAACATCATCAATGTTGCAGGCACAACCTACAGCTGCCTTCAAACACCAAAACACAAGAATAAAGCCAAATATGACAGACCATAACATTTGGTAAGACAAAACTAAGAAAAACAATATACCAAAAACACACAATTGTGCAAAGCCAAAGAGTAAACGATGAAACTCAAAGTGAACAAGAGAACAACTTTTACCTCCTGAGATTGTGAGGCCCCATCAATGTGAGACTTCATATTGCGTTTCTCAAACTTTTTGCATTGCTCTTCTTCCTCTGATTCTTCTTCATCAGATTCTACCTCCATTTCTTCAGATTCTACCTCCTCCACCTCTTCCTCTTGCGGTCTCTCGTTACCTACCCAATCTTCTTCAGCCACACCGCGGAGCTGCTGCTCGCCCCTGATCTTCTGCACAAGCATTGCCTCCTCGGACCGCCTCATTAAGGTCTCAGACCACCGCTCCCCAGGTCTAGCCATACTTCTGCCACTGGGATCCTGAAACTTCCCAAGAAGCTCATGGTGCAAGTAAGGCTCTCTTTCCCTCATTGCATCCTCTGAAAAATACTGCCCATCACTAACTAGTTTATCCAAATACGCCCGCCTTCTATTTTTAACCGTGGCTGACCTGGACTTCAGTTGCTCCACCGTGGGACTAAGCACACTTCTTAGATGTCTCAAGTGCCAATTGATCTCATAATCACCTTTTAAAACGTCAAATTCCCCAAGCTCCTCGGAAGTTAATTCTGATCCATACCTCTCTAAATGACCAACCAAAAACAAAAGAGGAGAAATCTTTTTAGACTATACGAAATTTCAGAAACAAAAACCTAGGCACAGAAGACAGAACCACTACTCCAACAAATTCAAATTATACACAAAACTCAAAGAAAACCTTTTCTCCTAATTGAAGAAAACAGAGATAATCCAAACCTAGAGCATACAAAAATCATGAAAAGAACAAACATAACTCAACAAAGAGGCGAGAAATTATACACGTACCTAAGAAAACGGCGGCGTCGCGAGAGAGGAGGTCAAATAGGATCGATTGGCGTTGGGCGGAGGTAGTGGCGGAGGGTTGCACAGCGCGAGGGAAGTAAAGATTATCGAGCTTAGACAGTCTCTCCGACAAGGTTTTCATGGACTCGCCGCTCAGGGACGGCCGTTGAGACGTCGAGGTCGCCCAATCCTCCTGTTGTGGCATTTTTGTACGACGAAGATGAAGCTGGAATTTCCTCCCTTTTTGCAACAATCTGAGTAATTGTGAATTCTTTCGGTCCAGAAGTTTGGTCTCCCAAAGAACAGGAGAAAATTTCCCCGCAGTACCGGGGGATTTGAGCTGTATATATATACATACATAAGAAGGAAAAAAGTTAAACCGCCATTGAAGCCGTCATCATCATCAGCATCTGGGATTTTCCCCATCACGTGTTGGTCACGTGCTTTTGTTATGGATGAACCAAATCCACTACGTTTTTGGAGTTAATATACTACTTCCGTCCCAAAAAAATTAATCCACATTGAGTTTTGAATTTTATACTGTTTTTAGTACAAATTTGAAAACTCAATGTGAACTTTTTTTTGGGACGGAGGTAGTATCAGTTTTTTATGTTTGCACATCAAAGACTTGGACAAAAAAAAAAAACCTTTCAAAAATTATGTGGACAAAACTGTGTGCCCTGGATTTTAGAACTCCAAATCAGGGTAAAAGTCGGATTTCTAAAATCCGGATCCAACTAAACACGGATTACTGAAATCCGATTTTGCGTAATGTTAATTAGATTAAATTAATGAAAGGATTTAGTGTAATTAATATAAACACGGACTTCGTAAATCCGAATTTATTAATAAAATATTAATTCCTGGCGAGATGAAAAAATTATAAGTGTTGAAAAATATTTTTTTGGCAAACTCGGCATACAGAAATCCGATTTTGTGTGTGACGGATTCTGTAAATCTAGATTTCCTCTTCTGTGAAAGACGGATGATGGAAATCCAAAGTTGTGTAAAGTCGGATTATCAAAATCCAAAGCTCTTCTTTGGAAAAAGACGGATTACAAAAATCCGACTTTCAGTAAATAAGGATTTCCGAAATCCGTATATCCTCTGTTTCTCTGAGAAACTGCAACTCCCAGTTAGCCATTGATTCGAATTTTCAAAATCTGAGTACTTTACAAAAAACATAGCTTCGGATTTGTGAAATCCGGATCTGTGTCAGAATTGAAAAAAAATCGGACTGATTTTAACCAGTACAAAACCCGTTTACAGCACCAACAACAATGAAACATAGAAAAACAGAAATCTAATGGCAACAAAACAATAAACTTCATTAGATTAACAACGAAACATAACAAGTTTCAATCGGAAATCAATCCAAAAACTACTTTCAATGTAAAAATATATCAACAGGCTCATTTTTTCCCTTTTCTTTCCTAGGCGCATCCGGAGTGTATTTATTTGGCCCTTGGCGGTTCTTGTATTCCCTCCGAAGATACGTGTGTATTGAACCCTGTTGTTGACGCGATTGGGGTTGGGGTTGGGATTGGGACTCTCCTATGGTGAGAAGTAGGACTCCCGACTGTGGTTGCGACTCTCCACCAATTTCTTCAAATTGAGGCTCAAGTCCACCAATATCTTCAAATTGAGTCTCGATCTGGATGTGCAAGCCTCTAGAAAAAGCCGCCTCGCGCTCTCGTTATTTATTACCTGAACCATCACCCTCATTTTGTTCTTCGTTTTCTTCCTATTCTTCGTTTTCTTCCTCCTCCAATCTTCTCTCTCGGCCACAGTTTCACTTTTTTACCCGGTGCAGGTTGTGAGGGTAGAGATGGTTCGTCATCAACTAGGATTTGGGTATCGTCCATGTCAATCTCATCATTTGGGCCCAGGGATAAAGCAGCATGTGTTTGATCGATGATTTCGTTCAAATGCTGCTCGAGTTCATCGTATAGGAGATTCTTCTTATGTCTATCATCTCTAAATTGCTCGGAACTCGCACAAATGTTGTTCAATACTTCACCCTGAAAAGAAATTGGAACGTTAATTAAAAGAGTAAAATACAAAAATCATAAAAGATAAAAAAATAATAAAAGAAAAATATAAGAAATAAAAAACCAAAAATATAGAATGAACTCACGTATAATTTCAAAAAAATTTTCATATCCTTTAATTTTATAATTTTTGTGATTGGATATGATAGTATTCATCATGAACAATTCATAGTAACCCTTATATGATCCGCCCAATTGTTGCTAGGTAGGCCAGACATACTGTGGGCGTGATCAAGAAGAAATGTTGCGCGATCTTTAATCATAGGGTCACGGAGAACACCCTGTATGTATCCAAATTGTCTCACAATCCCGGTTGACTCGTGGGGTTCCCTAATAGCCCAACAGAACATCCAATATCTGGTCGTCCAAATGGCTTGGCCTTGTTTACAGAAATCAGGGAGTGTAGGAAGGACGCTTGCATATGGTTACCACAGAAACTGCACGAAATGAATTTATTTAAATGGTATAGCCGAAAAAAATAAATTCAAAATAAGTATAAATACCAAATTAAGTACTTACATCTCCAAGACGCATGCTCGTTAATTGATCTCTAAAAGGTGCCAAGCTGCTCCTTGGAACGTCTCCGTAGGTGTACAGACATTTCCACCTTAATGAACAAAGACGAAGGGGTTACATTTTAATTAGTAAAAAAATGAATAAAAAACAAACAGAGTAAACATTGAGTTATTTTGAAATGAAAATACGCACCGCTGAGGTAATGGAGCGGTCTCATCCAGTATATAATCTAGTGGTACTCTATGTGGCGCGATTCGCTCATACGCCCATACCTAGTAAATTTGAATAATAATGTTAACACTTCAAATTATAATGTCAAAAACAAAACCAATTATGACACCTAATGAAAACTAATACATACCTATAGCAAATATACACAGCCAGTGATGTCGTGCATGGTGTATTTGGTTGCCTCACACAGGCCAAAGTACAAACAAGCCAGCAGGGCCGATCCCTAACTGTATCGACTACACTGCTCCAAATCCTCAACCTGGGCCAACAACTGCAGATTGACAGTGTTTTGACTCTTGGTAGAAAACATGAAACTGTTCATAAAATGCAAGATTATTGTCTGGCTCTTTGCTTGAGTCGCTCGACTGGGGAATACTCAGGGAGTGCACGTTTCATCTCATCCTCGAAAACACCAATCTTGACAAATTGGCCATTTACTGCGGCTGCCCGGAATCCCAAATAAGTCTCACATCTCGCCCGCCATTCCTCTGCACTCCGGCTAACTGTCGTCCTGTACACCGGCTCACCATCCACCCGGATACCAAAGAGGTCCTCGACATCTTGTAGTGTCACAGTCACCTCTCCGAAATTGAAATGGAAAGTGTGGATTTCTGACCTCCACCGTTCCACCAACGTGATAGTGAGACCGAGATCCACTCTTTTGTAGCCTACTTTCATCATCCCCTTAAAATCGGCTCTCTTAATGATTTCCTTAACATCCGATGTCGTTTGATCATTGTATATCTCCCAAAATGAGCTATCGTACATACGGCCCTTGAGGCGGAATGTTTTAATGTTGTGGATCTTGTTCTCAAAGACAGCTTGAGATCTATGGTTTTTTTGAAGGTATATTATTTTTTCTTGTACCGACCCCAGTTGAAGTTGAAGATGTTTAAGGTGATATTGTGAGCTAGATGAGCTATGCAATCCTACATTCGGATTTCACAAACAAAATCAACAGAATAAATAATGTACTATCCCACATTTAGATTTCATAAACAATTCAATTCAACCCAAAAAAATCAACACAAAAAAAAAATTGCATAAACCACCAAACCAACAATCGGGTATTCCATTTGCACAACGACCTATCGTATACTCCAAGTAGAGCAATAGCATATCCAATTCAATTCAGCAAGAAACAATCAACACAAAAAAAAAAAAAAAATTGCAAAAACCATAAACCAAAAAAAAAACAAAAAAACAAAACTAATAGAAACCCTAGTTTACTACAAGAAACATGTTTCCTAAACATTACAATTCACAATTCGGCAAAAAAAAAAAAAGTTCAACACAAAATAATGTATTAACGAAACTTTGAATTTCATAATTCCAATAGAGGGTGAAAAAAAAATACTAATCATTACCGAAGCTAATACAAACCAAATTCAACACAAACCAAACTAAATTGAATTCGACCATATGTAATCAACCAAACCAAACTAAACAAATTTTTTTAAAAAAAATTAATGAGCAAAAAAACTTACGGGAATGGAGTCACCGGACTGTATACGGTGGAGGGAGTCACCGGGGACGTCGTCGGCAGTATAGGGAGTCTCCGGGGGAGGGAGGAGTCGCCGGCAGTATAGGGTGTCACTGGGCGTGTAGGGAGCCGCCAGAGGGGGAGATGGATTTGGGAGTCGCCGGATTGAGTAGATTTCAGACCGCCCGATAGAGGGGAGTGGGTCGCCGGACGGAGGAGAGCCCGATTTAGGTGGTGGATTAAGTTGCCGAAAGGTGGGGGCGGTGGAACGGCGAAGTTCGTCGCCGTTTGGGGGGTGGGGGTGGTTTTAGGGTTTTTAAAATTGGGAAATTGGGGAAAATGAATGGGGAAAGAGTTGACTGGCTTTTTATAGTCCCGCCAAATTCGAATTTTGGAAATTCGAAGTAGCACAATTCGGATTTCAGGATTCCGAATCTCCCCTGCTTCTCCCAAAATTGCACACTCTCGGATAGATTTTTTGAGTACGGATTTCTGAAATCCAAATACAGTACAAATCGAGATACTTTGGATTTCTGAAATCTGAATAAATTTGGTGCAAGAAATCGGGCTAATTTCGGATTTCAGAAATCTGGGCTCAACAGAAAATGCCTACGTTTCGGATTTCAAAAATCCGAGCCCAATACAATAACACAAAATGTCCAATTTTGTTTTTGCACAATCCCAAAACCTGTTATTAACAACTAGTATCTACTTTCATCACAATCACAACACTAACAATTTAAGGTTAACATTACAATCTGAAATTGTCAATGCAAACAGTTATAAGACATCTAATTAAACAATTGTGATTCCAAATAACATGGTCATTCCAAATAACAAGAACACTAAATGTCTTTCAATTCCAGATGTCATTCACAGGTCTTCTATCTACTCATGGGTGCGAGTAAGGACAAGAATTGGCATCGTGACCTTGTTGTCCACATCTTCAACATTCTCCCCAGCTCTGGCGTCCCCTGTAATCCATTTGCATTCTATGTCTTATTTTTTGTTTTCGTCCCATTCCTGCATTCAAGACAAGACGATCATAATTCGGAATGATATTCCAAACGACCGTCGGCCATTGTTGCTCATCAGGAACTGAAACAAAACCCGTGTAATCAAATTGTCTGCGCCATGCTGGAAGGCACCACATACTATGGTATAGATCAATAGGCCGATCCTTTTTTTTCGGGCAAACGGCGAGTGCGTGCGTACAAGGCATCCGGTACTCTTGTCATTTCCTGCACGAACACTTATTTTCATCGTAATTCACCGTTTGCAAAGACCCACCCCTGCCACTTAGCCGTATAGCAGTAACAACCCGTCACCTAGCATCATCACCATCAAAAGGGGAGGCATCAAAACTGGTTGTTTTGTCGTTCATTTTCTCGTATTTTTTCTATAACTCAGGAGGAATCGATGTCATGCAATTTCTCGCACACAATTATTCTTCTCTGTAGAATTTCACAGTTTTGCAAAAGGTTGCATCGATCAAGGTTCTAATTGGTAAAAATCGGATCCCTTTCAGCGCATTGTTGTAACTCTCAGAATTGTTGGTTGTCACTATGTCCCAACGGCGACGACTGGGTTTCAATCGAGCCCAGTTACTCCCTCGAATCCCTCGAAAATACTCACATGCAGCAGGTTTGAATTCAATAAGCTCTGTCCTCACACGGTTGTATTTTTGTCTTGAAAGCGTCGTGCACATCTTCCTACATAACTGCTGCACCTTTTTGCTATTATGTCGCGACACAAGATTGCTGCGAATGTGGCTGAGGCAATAAAAGTGGCCACCATCCCCTAAATCACGCCATTCATCCATCTGTGACATTGCCCTCAACAACACTGCATTCCGGTCGGATATCATACTTACGATTCTATCCTGCACAACCCACAACCTCAAATTGCTCATAAAAAAGGTCCAACTCTCTACTGTCTCCTCATCCACAATCGCAAATGTAACCGGTAAAATGTACTTGTTTGCGGTATAGATCACCCCAACAAGCAATTTATCCTTGTATCTACCACGCAAGAGTGTTCCATCGATACAAATGACCGGTGGACATTCAAGAAATGTCGCAACCATTGGTGCAAATGATCAGAAGACGTATTTAAATGTCCTATTTCCCCTGTTTCAATCTTCTTCTCCCTCCTTCCATTCCCACTGTACTACAGTCTCAGGATTAATAAATTTAAGCGTAGCGAAATATCTACACAACAAACGAGTCATAGTTAAAACATTTCAATACATGCAATCCAAAAATAAAATAAAATAATGCACATAACCATTATAAAAATTGATATTTACCTAGGAAGTTCTTCGAAATTTGAGGTCCAATCATAGACTGCTTCTATGGCTTTCATCCTCCCGTGCCACGCCCTTTTGTATGGCACATCTACTTTCAATAAAGTCTTCACATCTTTTTGTGCTGAGGCCACCGTATAATCTACATTGTCCTCAACCTTTCTCCTGATGAGTCTAGCAATCAAAGACGCGTCTACACACCGATTGTCATTATCATTTACGGGAGTCATGCAATTATGTGCATCATACCGTCTCACAATTTCATGAAGGCCGTGATCTTTCAAAGACACGCATCTTCCACACACATGGTGGATCACCATCCTCACTTGGTATATTTAATGTTCTGCAACGCACAGCCCACGTCTTTGGACTACTCGCGGCAGCCGTATATTCTCTTTTGTAATGGATGTTCCATAATTTCACAGCATATTTTGCTTCTGATTGGGATTTGAAACAAACACCCATTCCTTCGGGGGTCTCATCCCACATCTTAAGAGCAAACTCATCCTTGTCTACATAAGAGGCATCCCATTTCCCCATCTTACTATATACATGGCGTGGGGACAATGGATTAAGATCCCTTTTCTCATTTTCCAATAATTCATCATCACTTTTCTCAAAATTACTATTTACAGAAAACTCACGGTCTTCTTCGCTTTCGCTTGGAGCTATGTAGTCGAGATCTGACTCTTCCATGTAGTCATCTTGTGCAAATAAAGGTGTCTCCTCTTCATCACGGTTTCGAGAAGTACTAGCACGTTCTCCCTTTGGAAAACCACCAAATAACATGTTCTTCAAACTCGTTTCTCTTTCTTCGTGAGTGATATCCTCCAAATCCAAACATGACATTGGAGCTGCACGGTTCATGAACTCTACATGCGAATCTTTCTTGATCTTCACTATACGCCTACCACCGGGACTATCGAAAATTACAGAAATGTGGAGTTTCACGTGTGTTGGATCCCAACCAAGTGTCATACAAATCTTATTAATCGATTCCACATATAACAACCTTTCCTCAACGAACAAGCTATCATCCATCAAATTCGAAAAAGTGTTGATGATACCATTTTCTATCACATACTTGCTTATATAAAACAAATTAAGCATGTATGATACATTTCATTGATAACTGTTTTTAAAAAAATCAATATCTAATCATTTCTTAATAACAAAATCAACAAATATACCATACATACTCCATTTATAATTAAAAAACTTATAAAATCCTAAAATACTTAGAAATCAACTTCCATATCTCATGAACAACTATTATTTCTCATCTCTAACCCCAAAATCAACACCTAAAACATCCAAACAATCAACAAACAAAAACCCTAAACTATCATACATCATTCTAACAATCAAAATAACACAAAAATAAACTAAATAACATAGTTTTGTAATGTAACCTCTTTCAAATAACGATCCCTACGTATCTAGCGGTAAGGTTGCATAAAAAAACTCCAATTCGCCAACCAAGAGCCATAGAAACATGAACTCCAATTCAGTTCTTGAAAAAGAACTGTCTGATTTTTTTTTTCTTTTATATCATGCTAAATTCGGATTTCAGAAATCCAAATAAGTACGAAATTCGGATTTGCAAAATCCGAATCCTACTAAGCTCGGATTTCAGACATCCAAGTTTAGTCAGTTACGGATTTTTAATTCTATTTTTTGGTCCTCCAATTTATGACAGATGCTTATTTCCACCAACTAAAATTAAATATAGTCGGATTTCTGAAATTTGAATACATTAACCAGGATTACAAAATTTTGGAGTTGAAATTCAAAAATTTCGCGCCTAAAGTTTCCTTGTATATTATTTTATTTTATTAAATTCGGATTTTATAATTCCGAAATTCACTGTTCATTTTCTAACCTTTTTTTACTGTATTTCTACAAAATGTAAATACTTATTATTTTAATATTATTTGGGCATTCGGATTCGTGAAATTCGAAGGTTTAATTTTAATGGACCTTCGGATTTGTGAAATCCAGGAGATATATTTATGTCCACATATATTTTTAAAAAATTAAATTTATCTACTTTTATTTTAAAGAATTTTTTTAGGGAAAAGACCCGTTAATATATTCTTTCAGGTGTTTTATATATTGGTAGTAAATAGTAAGTGGCTATGAATTTTTTTTTTTAACTAAGATTAAAATTAGAAGAAGATTTTTTTAAAAATCTTTTTTGGTTGAAAACTTATTTTCTTTTCTAAAACTAAGAAGACGAATTTATTGAGAAATGGTAAGAATTGCTGCCTTGTACATCTGCTGTGATACGGATTGTGTAGTTTATTATTATTTTTTTTTTCTCTTTTTTTTCTTTTTTTGTCCAGTAACACTGAAACTACTAAATGAATAAACTCACGCGTATGTATTGATCTCTACCGAGACCTAAGAAATTATTTCTTTGCTTGTTGATATAGTCTCCTCCTTTAAGTCTGGCAAACTGATTAAAATAAATAGACAGGAGGTTAATGAATTACTTCTTCCGTCCTAAAATTATTGTCCAGTTTGTATTTTTATTTTTAGTTCAAATTGTACTAAAATTAAATCTCAAACTGGACAATAATTATGGAACGGAAGGAGTACATAATTTATCGTATAATAAAATGCGACTCAATACATATACATATATCTTTTCAAATTAAAAAAAAAACTCAAGCCCACTCTAACAACATACAAATCACACTGAAAGATTGATTATCATAAGCAAACAAAAAACCACTAGTTTGGATGCTAAATTAGAGGCTCTTATATGATTTTTGTCATTAAAAACCAGCTAATTCATGTGCTATAAGTGCATTTTTATGTAGGTCATTTACGGTTTTTGACTTTTGATACCTAACTAATAAGTAGTACACAATAATATTATCTTCAAAAAACACAAACATTATAGTAACATCTATAATATTGGAAAACAATAAACTACATTAAGGTGACATATCTAAAGAATGTATTAGCTGTTTTTTATTACACTCAGACAATATCTGCAGATTCTAAAGGTACAACAACAAGAATACATGGACAAAATCGAGGGCAAAGCAAGAGGTAAAAAAAAAAGATGCTACTTCACTACAAAATTTAGTGCCACCATCCACGTCCTATTCAGATACTCGACAAAAACAATTATGTCAGCCAAATTTTGGAGGCTATGAGGAAGTTAGTTGCTTCTCCGAGTTGTGTTACAATTGTTGAACATGGTCAGTGATTGCATCAGGACATGAATCTGCTTGCAACAACTCCAACCGTGTGAAAGGGGGCGTGAATTGTAAAATATAGTCTTCATCTGCGAGAAAAACAGCTTATTAGTTTTGAAATTTCACAAGCCCTAATCCATTTATGATCTCCCCACTTTAGAAAGAGAATAAGACAGGTTTCCTACATTTCTTTGCATTTATTATCTAAGCATCAGAAGGAACAACCTAATACTACTAAAATGAGCAGATGAAAGGCTCTTACTCTCTTTGACAGTCCCATAAAGCCAGCACAAAACCTCATCTGCGAATGCCAAGCACACTCCACCCTGCGAAAGTCGTTACATTAAGAACAAGCACAAACTGCAACATAAGCAAATTATGTTCTCGTCGACCACCAGACCAGCTGGAAAAAGGTGATCGAGACTCTTACAAAACATGCATTGAACACATTGCGTTACATAAAATCTGATGGATCAAACGACAACAATAAGCAAATGCAACATAATAGGAACATATGCGATCGACTTCGTAACACTATAAGCTAAGTTGCTCCCATGAGGCATATATTACGCAGGTTCATAAAAAGTAACAAAGTCATAACAAAATTAGATGACCATTCCAGCTCCAAGAAACACAGAAAGCTACCTGCCAGTAATTCTTCATTTTTATTCTTTGAGTGATATCTTTGGTTCTTAGTCTTTCTGTGCGGACAAGTCTCCCAGCATCATCTCTGCATTTATTTAACTTGAGAAGTCAGTGTGAAGAGATAAGGAGTGCAACGGTATGACTGGATGTGGTAACAGTATGCATGAGAGAGAGTAAGAACGCCAAAATAGATTCAAACTTCTAGTGAGATGAACTTGAAGGATTACCTGAATCCAATCACAATAAAAGGCACACCAGCTAGAAATGATTGGATCTGTGTTATACAATATACAAATAAATTAATTACAAAGAGCCAGAAGATTTGGAGAACAGTAGTGAAACAAATAGGCATCGAGGAACGTTGATAACCTGGAAAGATATTATAATCAAAGAGAAACATGCTTCATTATGACTATTCTAATCACAAATGCATAATGAAGATTAAAAGAAAATTCAGGAACATCCAAAGATCAGGAAATCATGACACAACCCCTCCCACAAAATTTTGCAATACAATCGAAAATAAAGAACTAACTAATAAAGCTTTGCATAAAATAAAAATATCACATGAATAGTGCATCAAATAAAATAATATTGAAGGCGGCAAACTCAAATTCTCATGTCCAGTTTTAATGTATAAAAGACATGACACTAGCAGAAAATGTCTGGTTAGAAAACAAAATAAAACCCCACAGAGAAGTATAAGGCTAACTACATACCCAGAACTTGAGCAACTTTTCCCTCTCGAATCTTTCCTCTGTGTGATAATCCAGCTACAGAGGACAAAAGAAAAGTCAGCAATGATGTCACACTCTACTATAAAGAAGTGATAAGAAACACAAGTAATATATCTAGCACCTCACGACTTGTCTTTAACTCTATATAGAACCTCCTTCCATCATCGGTGGAGTCACAGCAATCCATTTCAGCACCCATCAAAATACGATGAGCTCCTAGCTTGGTTTTAATTACGGAGCAGTATTCAACGTTTGCATCAACATGATGAATCGGGTCTCCATCACCTCTAGTTGGATCTTCCGTCGCAAGGCTCTCAAAACAGTATCCCCAATAGCAGCTTATTCAAAATAGAAACCAGAAAGAATAAGCAACTAGCAAAAGTCAAAGAGAAATTGTTGATAGTCACACAACAAGTAAAAAACTGATCCATCAAAACCAATTTAATAATAGAAAAAAAGAATATTGCGGTCTTAAAACTTCTCAAGGGCCAAAAAATTAAATATATAAGAAGAATTTACTGTACGACATTTCAGATATTCACCCCTTGACACTATTTCTGGGAACGGAACACAGACAAAATGCCAAACACTGATATCCAGAGAACAGGGAAGCCAAGTTCTTAGCATTCTTCCATAATGACACTCTGCCTAAATTGCTCATAAAAAATGCCCAAAGGCATAAAAGGAACAACAGAGCCAATCTCATAGAACCCGAAGAAAATGAGTGAATGTTAATACCTCCTCCTCTCCTTCTCACTTTGTGGTCTTTCGGGCAGTTTATGCACATCAAGATACACGACTCCATTCCTCTTATGCACTCCCATTTCCCAAGGTTCATGCCTTATGTAAGCAGTAGCCAAAATCTACCAAGGATCAAGCACATCAATCAAAACTGTCACATGCATACAGTGGCATTAGAGAATAACACGTTACCTTATTAAGGTTGTTGCGGTACGTCTGCCATGACAATGAAAACAACAAAGACTTGGTTATTAATACTGAAGTAGCATTTGCAACGAAGAAAGGCCAATGAAATGCAGACATCTCACCACAAAGTGCATGTTTTGAAGTGCTATATTTTTACTTCTTATACAATCCAGAAGGTCACCAAATCCCTCTGAGCCCAAATCTGGAAGGAAACCGTCACGTATCAGCCCTAGATACCAATATTAAATAAATACCAATAGTAAAATGTTGCATGTTCCATGTTTCTCAGAAAGCCTTACCTTTCTTCGGTGTAAAAGTGTCAAAACCTTCATTCAAATCAAACCCAACATCCTGAGAGATAAGACGCTTAAATAGCCTCTGAGAAAGGGGGAAATTTTACATCGGCGAAACATCAGTATCAAATATTTAAAACCAGATATACTGCTTCAAAAAATTGAACATAAGAAAGCTCACCAAACTCCTGTCATCGAAAAACACTTCTCCTCCTTCGGCACGACTATAGCAGGCAAGTTCACATGGCTATTCATCATTACCAGGCAACAGGAGGGAAGTCATTAAAACAAGAAAATAAGTTAGCACAGCAAAACATATCCCAGCAAAACAGCAACGAGCGGCTGAAGTATACTTCATACCTCCTGAAAAGCAATACATTTTCTCGCCAGTGTTTCTTCACTTTTTGAATTCAGTTTCAATTCGGAAACAAATCTTTCATCACGAGGAGCACTAAAAAATCTTTGATTGAATGGCCTTTGAGGATAAGGCCCAGGAGGTCGGGGAAGGAGACCAGGTCCTCGGTTGTTCTGCCAACGACCACGTCCAAAACCTCCTCTGGCATTGTTGTTGTTATTTCGTACAAGTGGCAATACTGAATTTAACAAATATGCTAATCAAAGAGCGATATAACACAACTAATATTACAAGGAAATTCCATTTTCATTTTCCATTACAAAATGGCAGGTTATTGATTTCAAGACGAGAAGACAGCGAGAAATAACAGAGGACCGAGCAAACAACAGAAAGTCCAGCAAAAGCAAAACTGTGGATTTCTTCAGAAAGAATAGACATGCTGATCACTAAGTATGTAGAATTTATCTCAGCTAAGAAGGAAGGCTACATATGGAGAAGAATTGACCCTTCAACAACATTTGTTACATTCTTAACAGGAAGTGCAGAAGAAAGAAGTTCTAAAATCTATCGTTCCAGAAAACACAAACAGCACTTGTTATTTATCATGTCAATAAAGTACCGAGAGATAAGTGTATGGCACAAAATCCCATTCAACAATACTAATGTACTTGTAAGTTTGTTATGCATTCAGCAATAAATCATTAAACAGATAACTGCAGTTGACGTTCCTTTATATATATCAAACTACAAACCATGCACAAGGAATGAGCATCAATACTTAAACACCCAATACGAAAGAGACACATTTACCAGAAGCAGTTGTGAAATGCAGTTAAAATTCCAGTATGGACAATCAATCATCTAGAACCCAATTAGAAAAAGACAAGCTAAACCAGTTGCATTCCCAATATGTACACAACCGCACAGGACAATCATGCCAAACATAATAGAAGGATCAATATGATCAAAGAAGAAAGACATCAAATGAAACCCTGCAAATAGCATATCACAGTCACAGTTCCACCAAAACAGTGATAAGAAAATGCACCTACTTTCCAAACCCAAATTTCCTAACCCCCAGCTGATATGAACGTGGGAAATACAACCCAGGCAATTGCAACAGAACCATTCATAAAGATAAAAAATTTGATCATGTAATAACCCTAGAAAACCTAAACGACCTAAATCGACCAACAAACATAATCATAAAATCTTCACAGGAAAAGAGAACACCTACGAACTCACAAAAAGCATAATGGGGAAGCCCAAAGACATAATTACTCAAACACAATCAAATTGGATGAGGCTTCCGAAGCTAAAGACATGAAACTATAAGAAAAAGAAGCAGAGAAATTTACCAGGAACTGGGTAGGGACTAATAGCAGTGGTTTTGCCATAATCCTCATTATCAGACCCAAAAAGATCCCTGACATCTTCCTCCTCCTCTTCCTCATCACCGAAGTCAACCCGGCCGTCATTATTATAGTAATTATCACTATCATCATCAACTCTACTATGATTATTATGATTATTATCATACGACCTCACTTCACCACCGTCGTGATCTTCTTCTTGGGGCTCTTCATCGCTACTACTTCTGCTGCGATTGGAGGAGGAGGACCCAGAAGAACCCGATGAAGAGCCGCCCCCGCCGCCGGAGGAAGAGGCGGAGGAGGAGGCGCCGGAGGACGATGCCCCGGAGGAGGAAGATTGGTGGGCTTGATTTTGATGGTTTTCTTGCGGCTCCTCCGCATCTTCTTCTACTTCTTCTTCTGCGTCGTCGTTTCGGTAGTTCTGGTTGTCGTCATCATCGTCTTCTCCGAATAAGTTCAATGCTTGCTCCGCAAAGTCCATGGTTTTTTTTGGGTTTGGACACTTTCTCTGTTCTTCTTCTTATTCTTCTCTTCAGTTCGAAGAGGAAGGAGGTTTTTGGTTTGGTACCCCTTTTACCTTTTTATATGGAAAGAGGAATTTCAGAATTTCTCTTTATTTTTCTTTTTTGTTATTTATTTAAAATAGTAATAATAAATTAATTAATGAGAAAAAAGAAGAAGCAATAACTACGTGGCGACCTATTTGTATTCTACTGGATTGTGTATTTACTCTCTTTTGAGTTTATTTATACTTTCTTTTACCAAATTTTAATCTTGTGACAAAATATGTTCCAAATTTCATATTGTGATGATTTTAGTGTCCGAAATTTGTAAATTATGACAAAAATATATTTATACAAACGTTTCCTTTATTTACACAAAATATTAACGCCACTTCATAGTGTTAATTATCTGTTCTTATTTTGTGTTCATGAGAAGTAATAATTTTTTTTCCAATGCATACATGTTTTTATTTTCTTTTTTTATTTTTCAGGAAGTATACATCACATTTATTTTTTAATAACGGATACATAAGGAGAGTGTATGTAATAAGACAATTGCAATAAGTGTTTGTTTGAATTGATTTTAATTCAGTAAAGTGAAGTAGTGAACTATTAAAATGAGACGGATTGAGTATTACGTTATATAGAAAATCGGGAGTTCCGCACATGACTCCCGATTTAAACTGGTGGAGCAAACCGCAAAGAGATTGAACACATTTGGTTTTGCAAACCTAGATCCTGCTTGGTTCACAGGTCTAAACTTTCAACCGTGGAATTTATGTGAAGTATGGACATTAACAGCATGCTTGAGAAGATACACAAATCCCTGAACGAAGGTTGACCGCCGCAGGAAGTTGTTCATTGTGTTTTTTGGTACTTATGTAAACCATCTGATCCAGTTTCTTGTGCTTTTGAGAGGAACTGGGCGTGGATTCTGATCGTCCGAAAAAGGGAGATCTGCTTGTAGACATGTTAGTTCTCTCTACTCTTGCAGAGTCTCACAAAATTTTTGAGTTTGATTATCTTAGCAATGTGAGAGAGTTCATCCCGAATGCACAAGATTTGAACAAGGAAAACTCACGTAAGACTTGAGCTTGACCGATACCAAAGGACCAAAGCACATTGTTTGTTTAAAATTATTTTTTCACATTCTCATACCCTTTTTTTCTACAAAATTTTTTACATTTCTCATTACATATGTAATATAACATTTTTCAAACTAAAAACAAAAATAGACTGACGGCATGTTGCCGCAAAGAGGCAGCTCCTTTACCAGCTAGCTTGTTCCTGATTCATCCCTTCTACGTTCTAAGGCAGGCCAGAGTTATCCAAACAAAACAGACCACAACAACAGCTCCCGCATATTCTTCATAAGGCTGAGTTCATTTAATCTCATGAACCCTCCTTGGAAAAAGAGCTCTATTCCTGCCAGGTCCTGCAGCAGTGCTTTCTTGCAGAATGTGATTATAAAAAGGCTCGGTTTAGTAATTGATAGCCCTTCGCAGCACTGTTCCGGGCCTATTTATACGATCCTTCAACTAAACCTAGCTAGACTGACAAGTCAAAGCACTGACCTCTATTCTCCTGGAAAGCTTCAAGTCGTTCTGCTATAACCATTTCTTCTTTACATCTTCAGCACATCTTCAGCAACAACATCAACATATTTCCTATTACAAATCTAGCTGGCGCGAAGCCATTTCCTAAATGTCTGAACATGCTCCAGTCTCTGCATTTGAACCTCATTTCCCGTATCTGATGCCTTCTTATTCTTATAAAGACCCTTGTGAAACTTAAAGAACTCATTTCTGTAAATCCACTTGTCCAGGTACATACGATTCTCCGTCATGAAAGCAATGATCTCTAAGACCCTCTCAAAATAACCTCCTCGAATAAAGTTCAATAGCAACGACTCATATAAATCTCTGTAAACCATTGAATTACTTCTTTCCAAATTCCTCTTGATATCACCCCATAAGACAGTGATTTCTCGATACATTCCCATTGCAGAATACCCATCTATTAAGTACGCATAAGTCTGCACTGTTGGCTGAACTTTTATCTCCAGCATCCTTCGGTATGTCTTCAGGGCATCTCCAATCATTTTTGCCTTAGTGAAGTAGTAGATAGAGGAATTCAGCTGATGAATCACAGCAGAAGCATGATATATATTTTCCACTTCTTTCATTTCCTGGATGATAGACTCGACTAAATCCGATTTGCTAGTTAAGCCTACATTTTCAGAACGTGAGGTGCGTCTGCTCTCCAACTCTGAATTTTGTCCGGAAATGGCCATCTCATGCGATAGGCTTTCCCCTAGACCATTGCTTTTAATTTGTTTCACTAGTCTGTCTCCCACTTTGAACATTTTTCTACTGTAATAAGCATCCAACAGGGACATATATAAACTAATGTCGATGGGACTTCCTTCCAAGTCATCCAAAATGTCATGAGCAGTCTCCAGCCATCCCAAATGAATGCATGCATTAATCACATCACGAGACAATTTGACAGATTCTGATCCCCATAATTTATTTTGAATACAAATGAGAAGTCTCGAAAGTTCATTAATCCTCCCACGACTTCTGTATTCTCTGACTAGTTTTGCTAGTGCTTTGCTGCTCAGTGCAAGTTTTCCATTTTCATGCAAAACATACTTTGGTTTTCCCTCAACCTTCATGACTGTATCGTTCAGTTGAAGTTCTGGCAAGAACTGTAGCTTTAAACCCATCTTGAGACTGGCAGATCCAATTGGGACTGAGCAGGGTTCACTGTCACCTTCTCGGCTTGGATTACAGTCTTTAAACCTACACATTTCTGTTATAAGTGCTGAAGCAGCATCAATATCATTGAACAAGAAATGCAAGCTCAGCAAGCTGTCATAGAATTGTCTATAATGGAAAACAAGGGGAGCTGAGACCCTATCTATATGCCTCTCAAACCTTTTCAACTCATCTCTCATTTTGTTCATCTCATAAATCTGAGAAATAATGACTATGCTGTGGGCATCTGCCACCACTCCAACTTGTGCCATCAGCTCCACCATCTGCTGACCTTTCACAGATGATTTCATTCTTGCACAGGCATCGAGAATAAGATTGAATAGCAAAGTATCAGGTTTTACTATCTTTGCATAGTTAGATTTGCTGTCAATTATGTGTTGATAAAGACAACACATCTCACTCAAGATATTTGATGCAAGAATTGTTCCCGTATCAGTTTTCACCATATGAAGAAAAATTAGACCAAGCATATCCACTGGTGGTAAATTCTTTTTCCTCAAGATCAATCGAAGAATCACAGATGCTGGGATAGGCATTTGAGCCCTTGCTAAAGAAAGGCAGAGCTTAGTTAGTAAATCAAGTCTAGGCAACTCTGATTTCCCTCTTGACATTGAAACAACTATATCAAATGCCCTGCGCAACCATTTGAAGTCCAAGGAGTAGGAAAATTCAGTTATCAACAGCCTCATGATGGATGCATCAGGGAAGCCATACAGGCGTTTAAAATCTTTGTACGCATCCCAAGCTTCAACCACCTGATGATCCTTCAGAGCTTTTTCAAGCTTTCCCAACAAGGCGATACGAGAAGATCCTTCCCAGCCTAACTTCTCTGGATTTACCCAACTAGAAGATTGATTATTACATATGCCAAAAGAATTCTCTAGTCCCCGTGCACTATGTCCAGAATAATAATTCCTGTCAGTAACGGATTTCAAGCCAGAGTCTGAGGCAATCCCAGGAACAGACCAGTAAGTCTTGATAAAAAATGGGCGTAAAGCAAATACTCTTCTCATACATATTGCCATTAAAATCAGAAAATCATCACAAAATTGCAACTTTTACCTGCAAAAATGATGCGAAACCAAAGTCAAAGAAAGAGAAGAAACTTGTTCCCTTGAAATAGTTTTGAATTCAAATTTTCCCATCAAAGGCAAAAATCACCATCGGTCTCATCACTGCCATCAGAATTTAAAATGATAAAATTTGCAACAAACCAGAGCCAAGTTGCAAAATGATGCCTGCAAGAAATTCTCTTTTTTTACTAATTCCTTCCAAGTAGATTGTTGAAATGAACAATTCTTCAGCCACTAGTGTGTAAAAAGACATCATAATCTTCAACATCATCTTTTAGCCACAAATACAGTACTTCAACTACAGGGGATAGTTAAGAACTTCAACCAAACTCAACACTCTCATCAAGCAAATTCTATTCCTCTGATGCTAGTATAAAGGCACAAGAAAAGCATAAGTGTAATAGAGGGTCATTAAAACCAAAAAATGAACAAATCAATACAGCTTTTGAAGCCTGCACTGCAGTTGCTACTCAGTTAAGAAAGCATTTTTTGGTTGTAATCTCTTTAACTAAGCTGGCCAAAGAATTCTAGCAATGATCTCCTCATTTGGGACTAGCATATCAAACGTGACTGTCTATATTTAGTTCAACTAACAATCCAATCTATAATTTTCTTTTTAGCAAAAAACACCACTTAATTTAGAGAAAAAATCACATTCAACATAGAAACATCAACCAACTGATATCAAATTGTGATTGCATACTACAAATGCAACCAGGAACTGTTTAAAGGAAGAAAAATTCCCGTTGCCATGGATGAGGCCTTAATCCAGAATAGCTCAAAATGAGAAATAAGAAAAGCCCCTATACAGAAGAAAGAAGGCAAGAAAAGAACTTACATAAAAGAAAACAAATAATCAACAACATCAGAGCATATCATCCCGCAGGGGCGGATCCAGTGTATAACCCCGGAGAAGCCACCCAGAGCTGCAAAAAGAAACTTCTTTTTTAGGTTTAAATGGGTGTGTTTCTATGGAAGAAAACAGTCACCCCAATTGCTGAAGATCCTTGGAAGAAAACGATTGGGGTTTTTTTGTTGGTACAAAAAAGTCGACCGAGACTGTTTCCCGGCGTAGAAAGGAAGGAGAAGAATCAGACCATTCTAATTTTGGAAGTTATAAAAACGCCCCAAATCGTTAACTTATTGCAGAATAGTCATTTGAGTTAAAAAAAGTTGACAACCTTGCCCTAACTTTTTGTCGAATATACCTCGAAAGATTTTATTTTCAATTTTAAGAGAGTTTGAATTAAGCCCTATTTGTTTTAATTTATGTAATTCTAACATTTTCTTCCCCACTTATTAATTTTTTACTTAAAAAAAAAAACCAATTATGCATCAACCTTTCAAATTTAGACTTTTTTTTTGTAAATAGTAAAACTGTAAAAGTTGTAAGGAAAATTCTTATTAAAGACGTGGTAGATTTCAAAATTGTCACTGAAGGTGTGAAAATTTTAAAATTTCTCTCAATATTCTGTTGATTTACAATTGTATCCGCATATTAATGTAGCTATTAATAAAAAAAAAAATAATAATGTTTCCAAATTCCCACAGTAAAATGTAAGGCGGTTGCTTTGCCATAATTGAAAAAAAAAACAAGGTATTTGACCGTAAAAGTAGATAGATTAAAGGGGTTATTATACAAGCGTTGAACTGCTTAAGGGGTATTTCGAAATATTTACCACTTTGGCTATTTCCGGTTTTTATCTCATCGCGTGAATCTCCGGAGGGGCAGACCAGTAGACCGGCGTCGTCAAAGATTCGGCATCCACAGTTCCACTCCGGCCGACCAATCCGTTTAAGCCTGAGATACCTCCTTTTGTGGTCTCCTCCCTCATAGCCAATTTCCACTTCAGCAGGTATACTCTAATTTTCCCTGTTCTAGTTTCTTCAGGTTCATCTGCGGGTATAAGGAAGGTTCATCTGCAAATTAGGATTCTATCTCGATGTACGTCGTAAAATTGTTTTTAGACACCTGAAACTGATTCACGTACATAATAATTCCAAAGTTTTGAAAACATCAAAAAACTAATTCACAATTTTCTCATCGGCCGCCAGTCAACGGCATAATTGAACCGCTCAGAGAGCAAAAATGACAAAAAATTTGCGTGCAAAGACTAAAATATTCTTTTCACCTAAAAACAAAATTTTTGATCCACATTTTATCTCTTTTTTCTTCAATGACTTATTTTGTTTGACAAATTGTTGAAGAATTTATTTAGGAATAATAATATTCACCGATTTTTGTTAAAAATAATTAATTTTAGTAAAAACTTAATTTTATTTAGGGTTGAATCTTGTTTTTAGAAAAGGGCATTTTTAATTTCTGAGCAACAAGGATATAGCTTTACCTTCCAATATGAAGTAGACAATAATTTTGATCACCACTTAATCAATCTAGTACGTACTCAAGATTAACAACATATGATTGATATATCATATATGATGGCTACTTCGTTTTAGTACTCAGTTATGACTAACAGTTAGATGACTAGGTGAGATTTCGAAATTCATTGGTTCGTCTTTTAGGAACCATTACTTGTGAGGGGCACCATTTTATTGTTTACTAACCTTAACAATTCATTACTTGTTGTCAAGCTAGGTATATACGTAGAGTATCCATATCAAAAAACCATTGACACATAGAGATTCATTTGTCTTTGGAATCTTAGTCATGAAACTTGGATCATTGTCATTTTTTTTCTATTGATGTGCAATTAATTTTAAGTTATCGGTTTGGACTTTTAACATTACGGACTAATTAGCGCGCTGACACTAATTTGGCATGTCCTGGTTCTTCCCTTTCACATTGTTTTAGAATCCTTGGGAGAAGAAACCAAGGGCCAGAGTTGATCTTAATTACCAGGAGTTATATACAATCGCAGTTGGCTTTGGTCATATATCACTGATCTGATCTATATGCCGTATTCAAAATGTCTGTCATCTAAATCATGTCACCTTAAATATCAAGGCTGAGTCTGAACATCACTAATATGAAGCATTCGGGTCTTTCAGTGATTGGTTACAGCTTACTACTCTGTGACAACACTAATTATATAACCTCGATTGCTCGTGGTTTCGGTGGGAACATTAATTTCTACAAGAAAGGCATTCATCGGTTAAACCTCGTATAGATGCTTTAACTACGTTTTTGATTTCATTATATCAATACTTCCTAATTCTTTTTTCCATGGTAGGTTCACAATTCACACAAACCATACATAAATGGAGCATATCAAGTTGTAATACAAATGTAGTTGGAACACTTCTTTTTCCTCGTTTTTTAGGATGGCAACCGTGGGAGTTCTGGAGTTCTTTTACCGAATATATATATGTATAATAATAAATAAATAAACTTCTAGTATTAGAAAATTTAATGTTCACTCTTATAAGCTCAACCCTAATAATTAGGTTTTTCACCCTTTTGTTGTACATCTTTTTTCTCTAAGTTCCTTCGTTCGAGAGCCTATTAAACGTACCCTAGGGCCGCCGTACAACAAAAGCATGCAAACCTCCGGTTTTCACACGAATTCCAAAAAAACGAGGGTTCCTTCAATGACGAAGAAGATGAAAGATTCATCCAAATACGATGATCATAATATTCCGGACGAAATCATCCACATACTTCGGAAACTTTCGGCGAAAAGCTTACTGAGATTCCGATGCGTTTCAAAGGCCTGGCGGTCTACCATAGACTCGATTCATCTCATTGACATGCATCGCCTCCGATCATACGACAGACGACGTCCCCGTGGAATCAAGCTTCTAGCTTGCCGGGTTGGCGAGGCTAAGACGAATACTGAAGATGATAAGCAAGAACGCTCATCACTTGATGATGATCATGTTAGAATGTTTTTTTTTTGGTAAATAGTAAACTTGTATTGATCAACTTCACAAAAAGAAACTATACAAATCTTTAAGTACAAGAAATCCTGCCTATACTATCTAAGTTTAGTCCAATTCTTTTTAAGTACTGAACTTCCATCTCCTTCATTTTCTTGTTTTTCAAACAATGCAAGAGCTTCCAAGTAATCTCCTGTTTTAGCCTACACCAACACATTTCTGATGATGATAATACATTCCTAAACCTCCTTCCATTCCTCTCTAACCATAGGTGATAGACTGTTGCATTCAAAACAACATACATTATTCTCTTTTGCATCTCCTTATGTCTCCATATTTTCATAATTCCCTTCACACGCATTCAAGTGCAGCCATTCCTTCACCTTTTTCAGCATTACCTGAGCAAACTCACACTTGAAAAACAAATGCTGGACTGTTTCTATCTCTTTTAAACATAAAATGCATACCTGATCATCAGGAAGGACTTTGATCTGCTTCAATCTGTTTAAGGTGGCCAGTCTGTTCCTCCATGCTAACCAGCAGATGAAACTGTGTTTGGGAACTGAGTATACACTCCATACTATGCTTGCTGAATGATCTTTACTTCTTCCTCCTCTTAGCCAATCATATCCACTTCTGGCAGTATACCTTTTCCCTCCATTTCCTTGCCATACCACTGATGATTCCTGGTTTAAGCTCTTCTTTAACTTTGATTAATTTTTTCCAGTGCCAGCTGCTATCTTTAGGTGCCAAGCAATCCCATACTTGTCTCCTTTTCAGGTAGTAAATATGCATCCATTTAACCTATAAACTTTCCTTCATATTACTCAGATCCCATAGCTGCTTCCTAATTAGTGCTTTATTCCAAACACAAGGTTCCTTAATATTCAATCCACCTTCTGACTTCCTTCTACATAAATCCTGGCATGCCACCAATGATAATTTCTTCCCTGTTTCCTTGTTGCCCCAGAGAAAGTTCCTACAGACTTTGGTAATGTGCTTGGATCACACTCTGTGGTATTACGAATACGAATTCAGATTCATTAGTACAACATTAATTAGTAATGTTCTGCCAGCATAAGACAGGTGTTTAGAGGACCAGCACTTGATTCTGGCAGTCACTTTATCCACCATCTTTTGGCATTCATCCTTTTTTCCAAGCTGTTAGTAAATATGCATCCATTTAACCCATAAACTTTCCTTCATATTACTCAGATCCCATAGCTGCTTCCCAATTAGTGCTTTATTCCAAACACAAGGTTCCTTAATATTCAATCCACCTTCTGACTTTTTTCTACATAAATCCTGGCATGCCACCAATGATAATTTCTTCCCTGCTTCCTTGTTGCCCCAAAGAAAGTTCCTACAGACTTTGGTAATGTCTTGGATCACACTCTGTGGTATTAGGAAAACGCTAACTCAGTAAGAATTCAGATTCATTAGTACATCATTAATTAGTAATGTTCTGCCAGCATAAGATAGGTGTTTAGAGGACCAGCACTTGATTCTGACAGTCACTTTATCCACCATCTTTTGGCATTCATCCTTTTTCCAAGCTGTTAGTGTTATTGGCATCCCCAAATATTTCATTAGAAACTCTTCTCTATCAAAACCCACAACAGCTTGAATATCAGCTGCCATCTTAACTGACACTCCTGCCACATAAAGATTTGACTTGCTAATATTCACTCTCAGCTCTGTTGTTGCTTCAAATCTCATCAGTACAGCCTTCACTCTTGACACAGTAGCCACATCAGCACCACACAAAATGATCAAGTCATCAGCAAAACTAAGGGAGGTAATCTTCAATTTTTCACAGTATGGATGAAATTGAAATCCCTCCTTTTTTGCTTCCAACTTAAATAATCTGGTCAAATATTCTATTACCATCACAAATAAAAAAGGGGACATAGGATCACCTTGTCTAAGTCCTCTTTTCCCTTGAAAGAATCCAGTGCTGCTACCATTTATATTCAGTGAAAATGAAGCTGAGGTAATGCATTCCATAATCCAACCAATAACCTTTGGAGGAAAGCCAAATTCATGTAATAACTCCTCTATAAACTCTCAATGGATTATGTCATAAGCCTTTCTCAAGTCTACTTTCAACAGACAACTGGGTTTAACATTCTTCCTATTGTACATTCTTATCAATTCCTGAGTCAGCAATATGTTTTGCAGAATAGTTTTCCCCTTCACAAATGCTCCTTGATTAATATCAATTAATTCCACCAATACTGTACTCAGCCTTTGGCATATCAGCTTTGAAATGCACTTATACACTGTATTGCAACATGCAATAGGCCTGTATTCAGTTGCATCTCTAGGCACTGTTACTTTTGGGATTAGTGCTATCAGAGTGGTATTGAATTACTTCAAAATTCTCCCAGTTCTGAAAAATTCCAACACTGCCTCACACACATCATCCTCTATTATCTTCCACAAGCTTCTATAAAAGCCACTGTTATATCCATCAGGACCTAAACTTTTGTTAATGTCAATGCTGAACGTTGCACTCTTCACATCTTCCTTGGTGAATTTATCAGTCAGGCTGAGTTGCTGTGCTGTGGACAGTTTAGCTCCTGAACTAATAACTCCACTTTGGATAGTGGATCTGGATACTGTATTGCCAAGAAGAGACTTGAAATAATTCAAGAAATTCTCTTCAACCTTTCCTTTATCATCTACGAGATTACCATTCTCATCAGTGAAAAATCTGATTTTATTCCTCCCAATCTTCTATTTTAGGCTGGCATGAAAGTATTTTGTGTTCAAATCTCCCTCTTGGTACCACTTCTCCTTTAACTTTTGGCTATAATAACTCATCACTGCCTTGCTTGCCATACTCCACAGTAGCCTCATTCTCTACCTGTTGCCAATGTAGATTTAAAGGATCAGTCTTCAATCTCTCTTGCACCTCTTCCAAACACTTTTTACTTTTTAGTTCTTTCTCCTCAATTCCTGAGAATTTCCTTTATTAAGTTCTTTCAAATGCCTCTTCAGTAGTTTCTGCTTTTGTACCAGTTGAAACTGTCTACATCCTCTTACTTCCATTTGCCAATGTTGTCTAACTATAGAAGCACATTCAGGATCCTGTAACCACATATTAAAAAACCTGAATGACTTCTTCTCACCAACATACTCTTCACTCCACTTCACCATTAAGCAATTGTGATCTGATATGCCAGCTGATAGCACAGTATTATAAGACTCAGGAAATTCTGTCAACCATTTCCCATTGACAAATGCTCTGTCTAGTTTGGACACAATCCTCATATCACCATATTGTTTATTATTCCAAGTAAAAAAACCCACCCTGAGCTGGTAATTCCCATAGTTCACAGTATTCCATCATCTGCTTAAATTTATCAGAATCATTATTCAACACTTCTCTGCCTCCTATTCTTTCTTCTTGGTTTAAGATGCAGTTAAAATCACCAATCATGAGCCACTCTTCTTGAATGCCATTTGCCATATTCTGAAGTTGTTCCCATAGTCTAAATCTTCCATGAGCTAAGTAATCAGCATACATCAGAGTGATGTAGTACTTCCTTTTACTATCTTGCTCAGTAAAGTGACAGCGTATGAATTGCTTATCCACCTGTTCCACTCTAACAACATAGTCATCCCTCTTCCACATTAATAAGATTCTTCCCTTCTCCTGATTTTCATGGTTACTTACATACCCAAACTGATACCATCTTCTTTCCATTAACTCCTTCACCTTGTCTCCTTGTAACTTTGTTTCTAATAATCCCATAACTCCTGCTCTATTTACAGCAAGGCAATTATCTACCTCCCTGTGTTTCAGGGGACTATTAAGTCCCCTTATATTCCATGATAGTATATTATTCATGGATTCTGGGCCCTGAATCAGGGTTACTAGTTCCTTGATATATACTATTAATAGATTTTCTCTTATCACCACCTCTTCCTTCTGCCACTTTGATACCTTTCTGATTTAGTATTTGTATACTAGATTCACCTGTTCTCCTCGGAGATCCTGCTGGGCTGGAATTCTTTGATTTGGACTTAACACTAATGCTCTTCACTGGGCTCTTATCATTGTTACTAAGTGGATTCTTTATTTCAGTTGGCTTGCTTTCCTGAATCACTTCCTTCTGCTTATCAACTGATTTAGGACTCCACTTTTGTTCAACTAGCTTCCTGCATTGTGTTTTCTCATGACCATATCCTCTGCAATTATCACATTTGATTGGCTTCCACTCATATACCACTTTCTGCTCCTGTACTACACCACATTCATCTTCATACCACACTGCTTCCTTAAGCTTATCTCTGAATTCAACCTCAACTAGTATTCTTGCATATGCCGCTCTTAGCTTGTTTTCAGTCAAGTCATCCATCTCGATAGGTTTGCCTATCATGCTGGCAATCCTACTGAGGGATGTTTCATTCCAGTATCTAAGCTGCAAACCAGGCAATTGAATCCATACAGGAACTGAGCTTCATTCTTCTAGTTTGATATCTTTCCTCACATCCTAGTCCTTAACAATGAATGGACGATTATCAAATTGGTGAATGTTTTGCTTCAGCACTAGCTCCTTATCTTCCATAGAGCGAAATCTTACCACAAAAATTCCATTATTCAACAACAAGACTTTATCCATACCTCTTCTGCTCCAATAACAACGTATAAAGCCATTCATAACTAGAAAAGGTGGTTTAGCACCCAAGACATAACAGATCACAGAATTTTTCCAATACTCTACTTCACTTTCAATTTCTTCCTTAGTAATTTTCACAATTTCACGATTATTCACCAGATCCGGCTCAATGAACCTCAATTTCTTTTTGGTTTGATGTAACACTTTCAGATCAAATCCTTCCCATAAATTTTGGCCCCCAGGTTTCGTTCCTCCTTCCAATTTATTAGATCTTGGTTCATTTGGAGTATTAGAACTTTCTCCTACCACAATTACTTTTTGCTTGCATAAATCCTCAAAGATTGAATTAGAGATACCTGATCGCAAGCTGAACTGAGCTTCCTTGTTTGAGTTGACTTCATCAATCATCTATATCCCTGTCAATTGATCCTTCTCCACCTCTGCTACCTGCTTCCCATTACCTCCTACCAGCTCCCCTCTTTTCTTTGGCTTCCTTGCCATTGCAGACTTGCGTCGGAGGCCAAGGTCGAGAACACACAGTTAGTGCGTTTTCGCCCACAGTTGAAGAGAGAGAAAACCGTATTCTCGAATGCAAATTATTTACACAGGCAGTGTTGAAAACCTCAGTTTTGCAATCACGATGAATGCTAACGGACCATGATGGAACTGTAATGTGTTGGCCTTTGATCATGTTAGAATGTTGTTTACGCATCCGCATCCATTATTTGACAGAGAAGAAGATGGCAGCCGCGAGATCTTGTACCCTAATGATTTGCATACCCATGATGTTGTGAAAGGCCTGATACGATTTGGGAGCCAGATCTGGAATCCAACCACGAGAAAGTGTTTTAATCTTCCGCGCCCGCGTCTGAGCAGCAAGATGAATATTCCGGTTGATGTCGGCAGTGAGTTTCTGCTTGAGTATGAGAATTCTTACTATTTAGGGTTCGATTCGGTTACTAAACAATACAAGGTATTGAGCTTGATTTGTTTCCGGAGAAATGGAAACAATTCGCTATTTATTCCCACTAACCTATTTGAGATGCAAGTTTTCACCTTAGGAAGAGTAGGAGGAGGAAGAGGAACATGGGGATATGTCACTGACAATGTTTCGAAAGAGGCGATTAAGGGTTTGAGGGTAATGTGTTATTATCCCCCTGGCCCTTCTATCTACGTTAAGGATGAGATTTACATCTTGGTGGGATTTCCCAAATATTTGGCTCTCATGTTTTTCTCTGTTGGCCAAGAGCGATTTAGGTTTATAAGTCTTCCTGCTGGAGGAGGAGAAGGATTCACTCGTAAAGACCCCCATATGTGGGTTATGGTTGAGGTCGGAGGTTGTGTTGCTCTGATGAAGAAGATGAACACTACTACTACTCGAGGGATGACGGAGATTTGGAGGTTGATGGGCAGTAATAAGAATAGTAATACTGCTCATCATGAAGAAGGGGTATGGGAAAAAATCATTTATGATGAAACTTGGCCTACAAGAGGAGTTAAGAATATTCCTGAGTTACATAACCAAAGTGACTCGGGAGATGAATTAATAATATTTGTTGGGGAGAAAAGTGACAGGGAGAATGCGTCATTGGAAAAGTGGAAGGAAAAATCGTATTGCATCTATAGGGTTAGACATGGGATGCGCAGGGTCTTACGAACAACAGAAAGATTTCGGAGTATTGATGATCATCAAGATTATCAAGTCTTTTGTGCACTGGTGGAAAATTTATTTGATCCCACTACTACCCAAAAACAACAGCAGCTGATGATACCTTACTCGATGATCACCATTATTCCTCCTCTTCCTCCTCGGAGGACTCTTCTTCCTCTTCCTCGGAGAACTCTTCCGTGTCCGCGCACGACCGCAACAGCTCCTCATCCTCATACAGCAGCGGCTAAGAATCCTCTTCAGATAGCTCCTCCTCAGACAGCGACATTTAATATTGGAGGATGTTTCCGTAATAAGATTGATTCCAAAATTCCTATTAAATATTGAAGGTTGTTGCAAATGAATTCTTATTAAATATGAATGCCATTAAATAGAAAGTAGTGACTCTTTAGACTCTGCTAATTTTACTTTATCTTATAGCTCAGTATATATTTTCATCCATATATAATATTATTGCGGTTGTTCAAATTTTTCTTCCTCTTTTTGAACATTTCCAACTCAAGCAATTTCTGAATAAAAAGAAAAGCTTTGCAGTGAATTTGAAGCAATCTGTGGTGAACCAGAGTTCCGTTGTTTGTTTCTTTACATAATGAAAGAAAATCAACCAAGTTAAAACTTAGTACTCTCTTGCTGCTGTTTTTGCTTACGTTTGTCCCGGACAAGCAATTCTTTACCTACTGGCCAAAGAATATATAGTTAGTGTTGAAGGATATGCACCTGAACTAGTAGGCAAGAATGTACAAAATAAAGAGAGTGAAATCCTCCAACAAAAGAAAAAAAATAGTTAGTGTTGAAGGATTGAAATCAGACTACAAAATGTCATTCAGAACACACCGTGTACAATAAGAGAGTAGAGATGAGCAATACCAAAGAGCCAAAATCCTACTAAACATACAGAGCATCAATCAAATGAGCCCTTTTCTCTACAATGTGAATGGTTGACCCTAATTACTCGCAACGAAGAACACAATTTTACTTTTAAGTTTCCTTCTACATCTAGGCTAGTTTCTAAGGAGAATTTGAATTCAGATCCCAAAAAGCTCCAGTAGGTAAGTGCCACGATAAGTGGTCCATCGGTTTCATATCACTGCCATCAGAATTTAAAATGATACAATTTGCGACAAAACAGAGCCAAGTTGCAAAATGATAGTCATTCTCACTGCAATAAACTCTTTTTTCCCTTACTAATTCCTTCCAAGTAGATTGTTGAAATGAACATTAATATTGTTCAGTCACTAGTGAGTAGAAAGGCATCATAATCTCTTCAACAAATCAACATCAACTTTTAGTGACAAATACCGTACTTCAATTACAGGGGATAGTTAAGTACTTCAACCAAACTCAGCATTATTATCAAACAAATTCTAATATTCTGATGCTAGAATATTCTGATGCTAGAATAAAGGCAAAAGAAAAGCCAAAGTGTAATAGAGGGTCATTAAAACCAAAAAATGAACAAATCAAGACAGCTTTTGAATCAATTTTTGGTTTTTATCTCTTTAACCAAGCTGGCCAAAGAATTCTAGCAATAATCTCCTCATTTGTCAAGTTCATGAGGATGTATCAAGCATCAACTACACTTAGTGGAGACACAACATGAGGCATTCTATTCTACATTGCTACTAGCATTTCCTTAGAGATAATTACAAAGTGAAGACTAATCTCTCAGCTTAAACTGTTTTGGAAGCCTTGATAAACTAAAAGCATATCAAATGTTACTGCCTATATTCAGTTCAACTAACAATCCAATCTATAATAATAAAATAAAAACACCTATTAATTTAGAGAAAATCACATTCAGATACATCAACCAAGTGATAATCAAATTGTGATTGCATGCTAAATATGCAACCAAAAAACCGCTAAAAGGAAGAAAAATTCCAGTTGTCAACGCTGAGGCCTTAATCCAAGATAGCGCAAAATGAGAAATAACGAAACCGTACGTATAGGCGTATACAGAAGAGAAAAATAAATGATCAACAACATCAGAGGATATCATCCCCAACAAGCACAAAATGACTTTTCCTACGAAAATGTGTGATACAATGAGCATGTAAGCATTGGCTTCTAACCCTAATTTAAGTTCGTCAATGGCGGCTAGTGGCGGGAACTCTTAAGGGGCTCGTGAGATACCGAACCCCCGGCCTTCCGGAGAACTCCTTAAGAGTTATCATGTTTGACTTCCCGTCATGTATATTCGTCCATCTATTCTAACCATAAATATGCAGTCAACCCCTCAAATCCAAACAACTGGTTCCGCCACTGGCGGCGCTACTGCCAAGCTGGTGTTTTGCCGGGGCTTCTTAATCGTATTGATCAGGCTCTCCTCTTACAACCGAGAGGAGGTAATGGTTTTGGTGGTTGTTTTGACGGAGATAGAAGGATGAAGTAAAATGGTGAAAAATAAAAATGGCCAGGTTAAGAATAGTCATGAAATTTCTTGTTTATTACAAAATCGTCCCATTAATTTTACCATCATATTGCGCCAAAAAAGAGTGTCCCTTCTAAATTCAAAAATTTAAACATGATGTAAAGCAACAATGGTAACACATGATTTATATAATCAACCTTATTATATAAATATGGAGGTTTCAGGTACTTTCAAACATTTTGCTGGTTAGATTTATGGATTCGATATTCCACCTTAAACATTATAAATCTAGCATTTGAAATATATGTGAAATTTTGAAACTTAATTTGCTTTTTAGAAACACACATTTCCTAGTTGACTAACTTTAACAAATCATTAATTTCCAACCTTAAAATTCAATTACCAGTAACCAAAACAGAATATTCTATGAACATGAAGATTAGAACCAAAAAGACTGATCAGTTTTTTTTTTTAACAAAAAAAAGAAGCTAAAAATAGAATCTTCTTTTGCAATTTACTCTGATATACTCAAAGGGGCCCTGCACATTTGTGCAAGATATACATACAGAGAATATTTGTAAGTTCCTAATATTTGATCGTGAGAAAAGAAAAAAAAAACAAAAAAAAACCAGAGTCGATCTTAGCGACCAGGAGTTAAAATCAGATGCTTTTTTGGTGGCGTATCGAAGCATCCAATGAAACACGAGCTACTGATTCTAAACATCAGAAATTCACTAATTAATCTGAGGCATTTAATTAGGATCACTCTGATTTTTTGGTTGCTACTTAAAACTAATTAACCTCTATCGCTGCTTCGCCTTTCTCATTAATTTACAAAAAAGGAAAAAAAGAAGAAGTATTGATTCGGTTAAACGGACGTTTACCTATTTAGTTTAAACGTTATTATTATTTGTTTCAGTCGCTTAAGTAGGTGTTTGATTTTATTGGGGTATAATACTAAAACTAATATCCTGTTCTTTCTCAATGTTAATTAATATGGGTCATCAGACTTGCACCACTCCACCGCCTCCCTAATACTATAACAAAATTATTATTGATTATAAGCAAAATCAATTCCTGGTAGGAACTGCGCCCCTATCTGACCTCTATATAAAGAGGTGATTTTTCTTCTAGTTAGGACAAGTTGCATATACACACATTACACAATACATATCAAATAGTATTCTCTAAAATACCGTACGTACGGATTCATTCACATTGTGAAAGTGTAAAAAAAACCCTAGTGCCGCGCGCGGAACATTGAGCCAGCCAACCACCGTACAACAAATTAAAAGCAGTAAAAATCTCCTGACTTCCATATGAATTCGATCGGGAACCGGGATTCCTTCGACGGAGGAGACGAGAGATTCAGCTACTGATAATGTTGAGGATGAAATTATTCAGCTGGATGATGGCATAATCTTCATGCTTCTGAAACTTCCGGTGAAAAGCTTAATGAGGTTCAAATGTGTATCAAAGGCTTGGCGGTCAACCATTGACTCTCCTCGTTTCGTAGATATGCATTGTCTCCGATCATATCAGAGGCCCGGCGGAGTCAAGTTTCTGGCGGCCGGCCGGGTTGGGAATCCTAAGACGAATGAAGACGGCGGCGGTGGTGATGATAAGCAAGAAGTCTCATCAGTTGATGATATAAATTTGAGACTTTTAAAACTCGATATTTGTTCATGAGGAGTATATGTTTTCCTTATTTTGTTAGTGTAATTTCTTTATATGATGATTATTCATCAGTAAGTCATTTTCATTAATGATAAAATAATCAACCCGTTAGGTTTTATTTTGAAAACCAAAAGAAATTGTTCACAGTATTTTTTTTTTCTCCCTCTTTTTATCATTTTGTCTGTAGACATTTTATGGTGTACGGTGCACAATTGATATGGAAAATTAACTCTATTCTATCTCCAATATTTTTATTTAAAAGATTTTCTCAACAATATTAAAATCAAAACTTTTGAGATAATAATAATTTCCACCATATAATTCCTAACCATCTCAAACCGTACTTAAATGTTTATTCTCTACATGCTTGTATAATTTGTGTTAATAAAATGCATTCAAAATGTGCAAATTTTAAACTACAGTACTATTTAGTCGTCTAAGAAATCTCATGGCCAATATAAATTTCTTTAATATTTTTCTCAAATGATTTTAATATTTTCATAAACAGCGAACAAACTATTGATGGGGAAAAAAAACCGACTAATGAATTACTTGTAGAACGGAGAAATTGGTTTTGTTTTACCATTTGAGTAACATTTTAGCAATGCCTTTTCACTGGAGTCATTAGGAGAGCCGGCCCAGCCCATTACAGATTACAAGGTATTGAGCTTTACTTGTTTTCATGTACTAGTCGCATGGGGAAAGTGGAATGAAATCCTGTTTCTAGAACGCACCCAACAAATTGGCAGCTTGCATTACCTGCTCCTTCTTTTTTGTCTCCTCGTGGATTGCCTTCTCATGCTCGAGAAACTCTTTCTCGAACTCTAAATTGAAGATTTCCTCCCTTTAACTTCTTTTTGCGCATAAGGATACTTGCCAAGGAGATGATTAGCTGCCGAGATTACAAGCAAGAGATAAGTATAAATTGAAATATTAGTTACAAGTAGTGAATACGGAAAACATTTGTGTTGGTAACATTTACTATTTTCAAGGCTTCTTCATCAGTCATCGTTTCGGCTTGACCGAGATTTCATTGGTGTCGAGCTAGTTTCTGATGAAAATTCTTCCGAGAAGGTCGAGGCGAACTAAACCATCAGGCCTGTTTGATGGGTCATAGGCCAACGCTTGCTCGATTAACTTGGGGCGAGTCTAGGTTAGAATTATTTTGCGTCAAGTTTTATATATTTCTTATAACTAATACTTGACAGGGGCACTTGACGAGTCCATATCCACCACTAGACATGGATCGGCCCAATCACCCCGTCCAAGGTCCAACCGA